GGAAGAATGATATACTCACTAGTACACAATTTTAGTGATTGCCAGTGTTTTAAGGGATGTCTAATGGTTAATTATTGTGGGGCGTAATTCCTGATCTGTGTTTGAGCTTGTGAAGTGCCCAGTTCTCCGCACCCAGGTCACTCCTGGCATGGTGTGCGCACAGATGCGCATCTCCCTGACATCTGCCTGTGTTTTGTGGCCCTGTTTCAGGTGGAGGCGGAGGCAGTGTCCCCGGGATCGAGAGGATGGGCCCCGGCATTGACCGCATTGGGGGTGCCGGCATGGAGCGCATGGGCGCAGGCCTGGGCCACGGCATGGATCGTGTGGGCTCCGAGATCGAGCGCATGGGCCTGGTCATGGACCGTATGGGCTCAGTTGAGCGCATGGGCTCCGGCATTGAGCGCATGGGCCCACTGGGCCTTGACCACATGGCCTCCAGCATCGAGCGCATGGGCCAGACCATGGAGCGCATCGGCTCTGGCGTGGAGCGCATGGGTGCCGGCATGGGCTTTGGCCTTGAGCGCATGGCCGCACCCATTGACCGAGTGGGCCAGACCATTGAGCGCATGGGCTCAGGTGTGGAGCGTATGGGCCCTGCCATCGAGCGTATGGGCCTGAGCATGGAGCGCATGGTGCCCGCAGGCATGGGGGCTGGCCTGGAGCGCATGGGCCCTGTGATGGATCGCATGGCCACTGGCCTGGAGCGCATGGGCGCCAACAACCTGGAGCGTATGGGCCTGGAGCGCATGGGCGCCAACAGTCTGGAGCGTATGGGCCTGGAGCGCATGGGCGCCAACAGCCTGGAGCGCATGGGCCCTGCCATGGGCCCAGCCCTGGGCGCTGGCATTGAGCGTATGGGCCTGGCCATGGGTGGCGGCGGCGGTGCCAGCTTTGATCGTGCCATCGAGATGGAACGTGGCAATTTTGGAGGAAGCTTCGCAGGTTCCTTTGGTGGAGCCGGTGGCCATGCTCCTGGGGTGGCCAGGAAGGCCTGCCAGATATTTGTGAGAAATGTAAGTGACTCTTCAGGAGCTTCAATAATCTTGCACACAAGGGAGGAGGGAGTCAGGAGGTCAGAGGGGCTGATGGTGAAGTCAGAAGTGGTGCCCTCAGACAGGTGGCATGCACTGAGTAGCATGCAGAACTACCTTCTCTTGGCCCCTAGACTTTGGTGCTGGGGAGGCTGAGGAAGGAGTGTTGAGAGCTACCCTGCACCTTGGTATGAGAATTCAGAAGGAAAGCAGCTGTATCTGAATAATCTTTACCAAATCGGTTATCTTTCGCTGCTGTCTCGTCGTTCTATGGACACTTGCACACTACAGTTTAGATACCGAGAAGTGATTCGCTAAGCTTAGAACCTCATTCTTGACAGACCTGTTTTGTTCTCTCTGCTGTCTCAGTTTGAAGACCAGCCAGTTTCTTTGTGTAATAAATCCTTTGTAATAAAAGTCACCCCTCAGGTGATTGTGACGTTCATGCGTTGGGATTCGGTTGAGTCATTAATTGGTCTCTCCTTTCCCTCCCCCCCAGCTCCCATTTGATTTTACATGGAAGATGCTAAAAGACAAATTCAACGAATGTGGTAAGTGTTTGAGACTTTCTAGGTGCTTCCATGTGTTGTGGCTGCAGAAATGTTAGCTTATTAGTGATGTGGTTGAGTTGTGCAGCAAAGCTTCCATTGTAGTCCTCCAGCCACTTTCCATCCACAGTAGATGGACTCTGAGAGCAGATGGGACTTGCCATTTTTCTGCCATGCAAATATTCAAGCAGTTTGTTGAGTTTCCTGTTGTGTGTCGGACACTTCTCTCTTTTCATTTCATCCTTTTTCTCTCCTTTTAGGGTTTTAAAAAAGCAGTAGTTTGTCCCCATTTTACAGATAAATCAGGGAAAGCTACATTCCCAGGGTCAAATGGCTTTTAAGTGACAGTTATATAAACACAGCAGATCCTTGAAGAATGAATGCTTTGTTATTATGTTGATTTGGGGTGGGGAGTCCTGGATGACATAGTATGAAATGGTCTTCTTTGGGGACCTGGTTTTGCTTGAATTCTCAGCTTGAATTCTCAGTGTCCAAATTCAGGATAAGGTACAGCATGGATTCTGTTAATGCAGCAGCTTGTGGGGCTGACATAGTATGAAATGGTCTTCTTTGGGGACCTGGTTTTGCTTGAATTCTCAGCTTGAATTCTCAGTGTCCAAATTCAGGATAAGGTACAGCGTGGATTCTGTTAATGCAGCAGCTTGTGGGGCTGAGGGTCTCTGATTTCCTGACGCCCAGCAACCATGCTGGAAGACTCATTTTGCAACAGACAGGATGTTGTTTCCTTTCCCTGCCCTCCAATTGACCACAAAGCTCTCATTCCCCCATGATTACTGTTCTTTGTAACCATGTCAAGCCTCACCTGAGGTCCGGGTAGCTTTGCTGGGTCAGGCAAGTGTTTTCTCATTTCCTATTTCAGTGGTGGCTTAGATTTCACCACTGCTGTACTTCTCCTGCTTCTTCTGGGGTGAGCTGCTGAGCCATAGCCTGCTTTCTTGCCTCGTTTTTTTTTCCCTTTTCCCCATCTCCTTGATTTTCACATTGCAGCTAAGTATTCTGAAAAGCCAGATCGGATCATGCCACTCTTCCTGCACAGGTGCCTGGAGGTGCTCCTCTGCTGACGAAGTCCAGACTCACAAGCCTCTGTCCAACTTGGTCCCTCTTTTAGCTACCCCCTGCTCCTGAGTTGCAGGTGGTGTTTCCCAGAAGCTCTCTGTTGGTAGCTATTCCTGGCAGTAGTGTTTTCTTTCGGTCATCTTCTACTTAGACGGTCAGCTTCTACTTAGACAGCTTCAGAACTTTCCTGTGAGAAGCCCTCCAGGCTATTGCCCCTCCCTCAGGCAGAGTTAATGACTAGAAATATGGGCCCATGACACACAGTCTTGACCTTGACACTGAAGTAGAGGCCTTTGTTTCTATGACTTTCCCCTGTAGACTTGTGTCCATAGTGCTTGACACATACCCGGATGCTTAATAGGTGCTTGAATATGTGTTGCCTGCTTGCTCATTATTATACAGCTTCTGTTTGGAGAACAGGAACATACATTGTATTGGCAGTGGCCTTGTCATTGGGTGGCGTGGTGTATTGAAAATGAAGCCTCTGAATTTACCTGTGAAGTTTGCTTTACACAACTCCTTTTTACCCTTTCAAGTGTAAAGGTATGCATTTGAAGTGATCATGGGCCATGGTCACAGTGTTGTCCTGCTGGCAGAAGAATGGCAATGTGGCTGGGTGTAGTGGCTGGGCTCCTCCTGTGGGGTTTCGAGCATTCGTGCTCCAGGCGCGAGGGCCTCTTTCCCTTTTGACTCTGTCAACCAAAATCCAACAGGTGATCTGGACTGAGTGGAGCCCAGACTGAGGCTGAGCTCTGGCTTTGCCTGATGAGTTGTGGTCTCTTCTTCCCTCCCTGTGCCAGGCCACGTGCTGTATGCCGACATCAAGATGGAGAATGGGAAGTCCAAGGGGTGCGGTGTGGTTAAGTTTGAGTCGCCAGAGGTGGCTGAGCGAGCCTGCCGGATGATGAATGGGATGAAGCTGAGTGGCCGAGAGATTGATGTTCGAATCGATAGAAATGCTTAAGCAGTTGCCTTTTTTAAACATCGATACCAGACCTCTGAATTTGTATTTTTTCTTGTTAACCATTTTAATTTGTTGGCTGGATGTATAAAGATGTTTAAAAAATTCAGTTGCTTTTTGGGGTAATTTGAATTACTTTTTTAATGACTGGGGGTTCCATTTGACTGTTTGCATTGAGATTGCAATGTGCGCAATTTTTTTTGTAGTTGTGGCATCTTGTTGACATCAAATATGACTTTGATAATAAATACCAGTTCCTGAAAACTGCTTGTTTTTGTGTTTGTGTTGTGTGGGGCAACCATGTGAAGTTTGGGGGAGCTAGAGTCTCTGTTTCATTTTCTACCTTTGGAGCTGTGACCATCAGCAATGTCACTCCCAGTCTTGACCGTGGAACCTGGGGTTGAGAGGACATGGGCCCTGGCTACTTTAGGAAAGCTCTTCTATGGAAGCAGAATCTGAGTGGACTTGAATTTTCCTCAGTGCTGGTCATGGAGCACATGGCTCTTCAGAGCGCTCTTGAAAGCCAGCCAGTCTCTCTCTTGTGCAGTTTGTTGTGAAAGGGCACAGACTGTATCAGGCTCCTTTCCAGTTTAGCTTTTGTCTTACTCTGCTCTGGCTACCCTAACAGAAACACCATAAGCTGGGCGGTGTATAAACGGTAAACATTTATTTCTTAGCAGTTCTGGAGGCTGGCAAGTCCGAGGTGCCAGTGGATTTACTATAGTGAGGGCCTGCTCCTGGCTTACAGATGGCACCTTCTGGCTGTGTCCTCCATGGTGGACGTGGGGAGGAAGTTTTCCCAGGCCTCTAAGGGCACTAATTCCATTCACGAGGGCTCCATCCTTGTGACCAAATCACCCCAAAGGCCCCATCTCTAAATACCATCCCCATTATACATTACGTTTTTTGACAAAGGAACTTTGGGGGAGGGGGGCGCATTCAGTCCACAGCAGCTTTTCTTTGCTAACAGACCAAGCAGAGTGCAAGTTTCTGAGCATATCAATGTCAGAGGTTCCCACTGAACTTGATATTAGGCTCTGTCAGAACTGCATGGTTCCTCCCCCACCTCCATCACCTCAGCTCATATGATCTCATACATAGGTTCACTTGGACTAGACAGGGATTTATATTTTGTGCTGCTGCTTGTCCCGTGGGTGTGGAGGGTTGCTGCGTGTGGGATGTCCTGTCTCGCCTGACCTGGCTGGCAGCTGACTTGGGGTCCAATCTCAGAGAATCCATTCACTTTGAAGCTTCAAAAAGTACCTGTTCCCTCCTACTTTACTGATTCCCTGCCACACTTTCCTTCTTCCTTACTTTTGTCCCTGAGGCGTGAGGCTGGGGGGAGGGGGGTGAGTCTGGGCAGCCCCATAGATACCCCTCAAGTGTCTGGTCAAGAATCCTGTTTCAGTGTGTGTGCTAATCGGGGGGAAAAGAAGAGACAAGAAGCAGGGATTGTGTCAAAGAGGAACTTTATGTGTCCATGTATGTGGTCAGAACTGGATAATTCTGTGACTGCCAAGCTGGAATCCAAAGTTCTGTGTAAGTGGGTGGCTGGGCTGGTGGGTTGTCAAGGTCCCCAGACCTGCAGGCCTTATCATTGTCCCCTGGGGAATGGTTGACTCTCCTGAGGATCTGCTGAGGAAAGATGACTTCCGGTGACCTCCCCATAAGCAGGGTGTGAGCAGCCTCTGGGGGAGTGGGGTGCGGCTTATCCCTATCCAGAGTTTTGTGGTCCCTCCTAACCCACCCAGGGCAATCTACATACCCCAGAAGCCAACGTCATCATACACCTCCGTTTCCCTGGTGGAGAGCACAGTTGCATTAGCAAGGGTGACCATGTTCCATTGGCTCCCCTTTTCTTCCCTACCTCACCACCCCCGCCCCACCATGAGGGTCAGCACTCACAGGGGCAGTAGAGCCATTCTGGGCACATAGCCATCTGGAAGAGACAGCAGGGATGGGTGAGCTCTCTCCGCGGTGGCCCAGTTCCCCAGGGATGACCAGGCTGGCCTCACTTACACTTGCCCTTGGTGTCCCGGCACAGCATCTCCTGCTCATTGGTGAACTCGATCACCTCCAGGATCTCCCCACGCCGAATCCCAAGGTACTTGCCACCCCCACGTCGGGTCTTGGCGTTGGGGTCGATCATCATCTTTGTCTTAATCACGATCTCCCCCTCAAACTGGGGAGTGAGATGTTAGAACTTTTGCTTGTACTCCCCTCCACCCCCACCCCCGGCTTCTTCCCAGTGGACTCTTAGTGCCTCAGTTAACTGGGCAGCGCCCGCTCTCCCTGGCCTCTCTTTGTGTCCACACCTTGAACTTCTTCCGGAACTCCCTCTCCGCTTTCTCAGCCTTTCTGATCTGCTTCTGGGTCTTTTGGTCTGTAGGTGTCAACTGCTGTTGTTGGGGAGCCTTCTCCTTCCTAAGTCTCACAGGAATTGGGTGTTTGTGAGTGAGAGGTCCACCCAGAGCTTGGCCCCACCCACCTCACACTCTGTCCTGTGGTACCTGAGCTCTGGATCTTGTGACTTCCTAGTGGGTTGCCAGGTGGATGACACTTCATCTGAGGGGAGTTAGAACACTGAGTTAGGACGTGCTGTCACTCAGCCTCTCAACCTGGTGGCTTACTCGTGTGGGAGCCTTGCCTCTGTCCCTTCTCTGCACCTAGACCCCCTGCAAACTCGCAGCCCTGCCCACCCCGGGCCACCTTCCTCATGCTTTCACCTGTGTGGCCTAGTAGCTTGCCTTTATCTTTACTCCTGCCACCCTCTGAAGGATGCATGAACTCTATTGAGTTGAGGTAACTTCAGCCCTCACAACTGCCTTGATGCCAGGCGATACCTTTGTTCCCAACTTGGCTAATGCTGAAATAAAGCAACCTACTCAAGGTCACCCAGCTGGCAGTATTTGTAGGTTTTTGAGACTGTGTCTTGTCTGCCTCCTAGAGCAGGTTGGGTTCTGGGAGTTGAAATGAGATTTGGGTCAAAAAATAGCAGCATTTCCTCGAGGCACATGTAGTCTGCTCTGAGAAAGGACTAATAGGGTGGGCTTCTTGACTGGCTGAACTGATGAGCTGGACTCTGGCTGACTTTTTGGTAAAGGACCAGTCTACATACGGGTATGAGCCAAGAAAGCTGCTGGCCGGAGTTTGGACCCCCCAAGTGGACTCTGAACACTGCAGCCCGCAGCCCATGGAGGGGTGTTTATGTGTTACATCTCCACCCTTTCAGAAGCTGGGCTTAATCTCCAGCCTTTGCTACAGTCTACCTAGAACATTCCATCCACAGTCTCCTGCCTCCTAGTCGTCCCGCTGGGAGCAGTCCTGACTCCAGGACCCCCATCTCTCCACCCCCCCCCCCCCCCCAGGAACCTTACACACTCAGAGCAGCTAAGAGGACATCTGGCACCACCCCGCAGCTCGGACTACTTGTGGCCGTGCTTCCGGGCGTGGGACCCAAGTGTCCGCAGAGCCTGTCCTCCCCCACCAGCCAGCTCAGATCCTAGCTCTCCTCCAGGGAAGACTCCCCCAGCTGCAAGGGAAAGTTCTGGACTGGGGCGGCCATTGCTAAATGTGGCAGAGTGGGAAGGACGAGCCCTGCATCCTTCAGGGGAAACATTTGAAAAGAGCCAAGAAGCAGCCTTTCAAGCAAGGGACGGTGTATACTACCTGTGAGACTCGCACAGCGTCTCAGGAAGGAAGAGATCTGAGGAGGTCTGGTTTTTGATCAGCATCATCTAGAATGACTGGTATAGAATGGACTGGAGAAGACGAGCCATAGGGCCTCAGGAGAAAGAAGCAGGAGGTAAATCTGTGCTAACAGACCTGTTGCAAGTCACTCCTGGAGCAAGCCCAGGGGAAGCAGAGGGGCCTGGGAAGGAGTGATAGCCAGAGGCAAGCGAGCAGCAGACCTAGGCACTAGTGGAGAGGGAGGGAGGCAAGTGCTGACATGTCCAGGACACCTGTGATGACGTGTTCACCTGTCAGGCTCTTCCCAAGGAGAGGGCAGGGATGCATGCTGGCAGCAGAGTGCCTGGCTCCCTTGTATTGACTGAACTGGGCCAGGTTATTTCATGGGCCCTCGAGCTTCCGTGTCTGTAAAGGAGGTTAATGTGGCCTTGGAGGGTGGGGGATGTGCAGAGCCACATGCATGTAAAGTGTTTTCATGGCAGCCATCTTTTCACGTCAGCTTGGTGGAGGAATTAACCCTGGAGCTGGGCTGAAGGGGCAGGACTGCTAGGTCGTCCTGTTCTCAGAGCAGAGACTGGGACAAAAGGAGTGCAGATTGCGTCCTGGACAGCAGGGCAGGGCGGAGAGGGCTTGGACAGCAGACACCGCCGTGCGCCACCACGCCTTGTTGCCAGCCTGTGCTGCTCTTGAGTTCTGACATGCCCGTGGTGAGCCCTGACCCCTTGTCTCCCGCTCGGGGGTGACTGCATCCTGCGTCCAGGCAGTCGACTTAAAACTGGGCACTCCTCGATGTCTGGAGCCCTGTCACAAGCCACCACTAAATCCTTTCCTGCTTTTCACCTGACTTCCACACCTCTCTCCACACTCCTGCCCTGGCCCCACCATACTGGTGGCATCTGGGATGCCCTTCCTCACACTGTTCCCCTCACCAGGAGCTGGTATGACCTTTCTGAAAGGCCTGCCACCCTTCTCTCCCCTCCCCTGCAGCTGTCAGGGAGAGGGGTTGCTGCTTAGCCTCAGCAGCAGCAAGGCAGAAAATGCCTTTGCAAGGAACGCTTCTCAGATGCCCAGGCAGGGAGGCCGGCTCATAGCCCAGCCCTGCCACCAACAAACCTCTGCTCTTGGGGCTGGGTCTGGAGTCCTCTGTGGGCTCCACGTCATCGTACAGCTCATAGATCTCATCCGGGTTCCTGCAGGGATACCGGAAATGAGGGCCTCTTTCAGCCCCATGACCTGCCCCTGTCCACCATTATTCCCCATACTCACTCAGGGGCGTCTTCGGGCTGTCTGGCCTGGGAGAGAGTCCCGGCCGCAGAGCGGGTTCTCCTCAGGGCTGTGGAGGAAGAGAGTAGGAGGGAGGCAGGCACAAGGGAGCTTCTGTCCCCTGCGTTCTGCCTGTGCCGCCTTGACCCACCTGAGGCTGCTGGACGCCATAGGCTCTGGAAGTCCACAGGTCCTGGGGGCAGCGGGGGCTTGGCTGGGGCGGGCCCCAGGCTGCTGACTGGAGGCAGAGGTCGCCGCCGGGGCGTGCGGCCAGGCGTGAGGCCCGGCTTCGACCCGCTTCTGCGAGTGAGCATGCTTGCCCTCTGGCACCCGGCTCCGAGCCCCAGGCTGAGTGGGAGCCTGGCGCGGGGGCCCGCGGTGGCCGAGGGCAGGGAGCTCTCAGAAGCGGAGCCGGGGAGTGGGGGCTTTCTAGGGAGGTCATTGAAGAACTCGGCCTGAGGGTGCCTCTTGGGCAAAGAATTGGGCTCAACCTGGCACTTGGACTGTGGAGACTTCCTAGGGCACACACTGAACTCGGGCTCCGAGGATGTCCTAGGGAGGCCACCCAGCTTGGGCTGGGGGCGCTGCTTGGAGAGCGCTTTGAATTCAGGCTGCAGCTTCTTGGGAAACAAGCTGACTTCGGGCTCCGAGCATGTCCTGGTAAGGTCACCAGACTTGGGCTTTGGGGGGTTCTGGGGGGGGTCACCCAGCTGAAGTTGTGGGATCTTTCTGGGAAATGCACCGAAGTCAGACTGTGGGGATTGGGGGTGGGGTTCACTTAACTCGCACTTCCAGGAGGGCATCTGAGGGGCCTCACTGAGCTCAGGCTGTGGCAGGTACTTAGGGTGGCCACCGACCTGAGTCAGTGGGGGCCTTCTGAGGTTCGAGTTGAACTCTGGCTGCCGGGGCTTCTTGGGAAGGGCACTGTCAACAGGCTTCAGGGGGTGGGGTTGGGGCTCTCTGGACTCAGGCTTCCCAGGGGGCGTTTTCGGGACCTCACTGAACTCTGGCTGTGGAAGGGACTTCTTAGGGAGGCCACCGATCTGTGATTGTGAGGGCTTTATGGGGGGCACACAAAACTCAGGAGGTGGGGGCTTCTTGGGAGAGGTACTGAACTCTGGCTGCCAGGACTTCAGGGTGGCCTCACTGGGCTCAGGCTGTTGGAACTTCCTGGAGGATGCACTGAATTTGGGTTCGGCAGGCAGCTTGGAGGGGTTGCTGAGCTCGGGCTTCCGGGGCTTCCAGGCAAGTGTACTGGGCTCTGGCTGCGAGGCCTTCTGCGGGACCTCACTGGCCTCAGGCTGTGAGGGCTTCCTGGGGAATAGGGTGGCCTCTAACTGTGGGAACTTGTTAGAGAGTTCACCGAACTCAGGTTTGGGGGGCTTTGGAGGCAGATGGGTGAACTCGGGCTGCTGCGGCTTCCTGGGCACTGCACTGAACTCAGGTTGTGGGGGCTTCTTGAGTTTGTTGAATTCAGGCTTTGGGGATTTTTGGGGGAGTTCGCTTTTCTCAGGCTGAGAGGCCTGAAATTTTGCTTGAAGGCTCCGGAAGTCCTGATGGCTCCCCTAGGGAACACAGAGCCAGTCAGGCAGGGGCCTGGGCACAGAGGGTCACGGGGGCACAGGGACATGGTCACAGACACACCCCCACCTGGCTCCCAATTTGCTGGCCTTGTTCACCCGCCCTCTGTCCCCAGTCCTTCTCTGTTGGCTGTTCTATCCCCACCTTCCCCCAGTCCCTCGCGCCTCTAAACTGCACCCAACCTCACTGGGACAACCCCTCCCCCCATCAGGACAGGAGCCCCTGGTGCTCCCACAGCTCTCCCCTCGGTTGAAGATGCTTCCCTAGTATCATTGGACCCTGCCTTCTTTCAGCTCCCCATGTTCCCAATTCACTTGTGTTCTAATTTCAGAATATTTCTCGAATTCCACTACTTACTGCGTGCACCACTGTCATCTGTGTGGTAACTGTCCCCCCATCCCTGATCAGTCCCCCCAGAACAGCAGACAGACAGCTGTGAACACTAAGTGGGTCTGCGACCTGCTGCTCATAATCCTGCAGGTTCATTCCCCGCAGTAAGAGCCGCAGGCCTGAGGGCCCTGTCTGTGGCAGGGCCCTGGCGGCCCCTCCCCGTCATCCCCTGGGCCGGCCACCTCTCCCCTGCCCTCTCCTCCAGGCCTTCTGAGCAGTGACCGTTCTCCTGTCCACCCCTTGCGTGGGACCCTGCCCTCACCGCACCACCTCTGCGCCCCTGCCCCCGGCCTCTGCTCCAGTACTTCCTTAGTGAACATTAAAGAACATTCCCAGTACGCTGCCCCTCGCCGACCTGCTGCCGTGCAGCATACTGGTTGTCTGTGTTGTTTTTCAGGTTTTGCTTCGCTGCTTTATTACTATTTTTTCCAATCTCTCTAATTCCAGCCCCCAAGTCCTGTGGACATCAGTGCCACAAGGAAAGCGGCCTGGCCTGCTCCCTGCTGTTCTCCCAGGGCCTGGCACAAGTAGGTGCTCACAAATCTTCTAACGAAGGAAATCTAGGGCAAAGGTGCAGGCATATGCCCAGCCACATCCAGTCTGACTGTAGACGGGCAGAAACCCCAATGCTGTGCCCCCTCAGTCACAGACCCCTGGCTGCCGGCGGCCAGAAGTGGACAGGCACGCGTGTCGCTTGCCACAGCCAGCCGGTCGCAGACAGGCAGAAACGCAGGACCTTTGCCCCTGTCTGTGCTGCACTTCCCCTCCAAAGAAGGCGTAGGAGGCTCTCTGCACCTGCGGCCTGAAGTACTCTGAAAGACCTTCCTGGGTGGGTCTGAACAAGGGCTTCTCGGTGACCCACTGGGCCAGCGAAGTCTGCATCAGCAGGTCACCTCTGGATGACGGGGTCTTCATGGTGGGGGGCGCAGTAGATACGTGACCCACTTTAACACCCCACAGGAAACCCTTGCATTCATCCTGACCCCTGTTTCCAGGCTGCTGTTCATTCTGGCTGGGGGCAGGGAGTCATTCTGGGCAGCCCACGGGGCTGCTCATGGTCACAGCCTCAGCTGGGCCCCAAGACCCTTGGGTCTGGGCTGCCCTGGGGAGTGTGCTGACCGCTTCCTTTCTCTTGGCCTTTCGCACTGCCATTCCCTCCCCTGCCCCAACAGGATCCACCTGGTTCGCCTCTGTCCCCTCAGAAAATGTCGTCTAGTCCCACCCCTTGTCTCCAGCCCGTGAGGGGCTCTCCGGGGGCCTGGGCACTCACCATGGCTGCAGGCAAGAGATGGGCCAAGGGCAAGTGGGACCAGAGCCGGGGCTGCTGCCTTCAGGAAGTGATTGTGGCTTCTGACCCCATCAGGGTGGGGAGGACAGAGGAGGAAGGAAAGGGGGCGGGGATGACCCCAGCCTGGCCCCAGATCCTGTCAGACACTCTGTTGCTGTCCTCGCTACCGTGTCCCTGGCGCCCGCGCGGGCATCGGCACATTCCCGGTTCTCGCCTCCGCTGCCCCCTCACTCCTGCTGTGTGCCCGGGGTGTGCGGACCTTAGGTTTCCAGGGAGGCGCAGACAGACCTCCGCCTCAGGAGCAGGCCAAGGCCAACGCCAGCCAGGGCTTGCACGGGAGGGGGGTGTTCAGCGAGCGTGGGGCTTTCAGTGGGCCAGGGCCAGGGCCAGGGCCCGCTCCGGCTGGAGTCAGGGCTGCGTGCGCTGGGGGAGGGTCTGCCGCCCTTTCTTGTTGCCACACCTGCCTTCCCCATTTCACCATTTTCCTGCTCTGAGCAGGACTTCTGTTACTGGGGCCTCTGGGCAGACGGCCCTGCTGGGATGCAGACTTGGGGGGATTTGGTGGTTTTCAGGGCCTGACCTGAATAGGGAGAGGTTCCCAGCGGACAGAGCTGGGAACGTGGGGACGGCTGGGTCAGGAACCGCTAGACGCGGTGTGAGGCCCGAGCAGATATGGGTGACCACGGGGCTTGGTCCCCAGGGCGTTAGTGACCTTCAGCGCATCTGCACAAGGGGGAAAACACACTGGGGGAGTCAAGTGCGCTGATTTCTGTCTGGCCACAAGCTGGCATTGCCTGAGGAGTTTATAGAAAGAACCTCCTGGAGATTCTGATTTAGTTATTCTGGGGTGTGGCCTGAGCTGGAGGCGGGCAGTGGTTTAGCTAGTGAGGGGTGATTCTGACGCAGTTCAGTGGAAACACTGGTGCCCAAGGAGTCACCCCGACACCCAGTTCAAGTACAGGTTGGGCCTCAGGTGAGAGGTGGAGCTGCAGGTTCCCAACACCCTAGGTGATGCCCATGTTGCTGCTGTCGCCACCCTTGGAGCAGTGGGAAGCAGGTGGTCGTTGCAAAGGCGACGCTTTTTTAAGCCCACAGGAGGATCCAGGTAGGGCAGGGAAGGAGGCTCCTTTGACTTGACGCTGCCTTCTTAACGGGGCAAGGGCCAGGCATGGCTGCCTGTCCGCCTGCTTTGTGCCCCTGCGTGAGGGCCTGCAGCCTTGCCCGCATGTGCCTGCCCTGCAGGGACGGATGTGCACTGGGCCATGTTCCCTCCAAATAGGAATCCCAGGAGGCCAAGGTTGATGAGATCGGGGCCCCCTCTGAGTGTCCCGGACCAGCCACTGCAGGCCTGCTGCAGAGCGGCCCCTTGCAGCGTTTGGTGAGTGAGGGAAGAGTGAATGACAGAACAAGGGATACTGGCGGGAGCAAACAGGCACGCCGGCCCAGGTGCGCTGGAGGACAGTGACAGCTCGGGCACCCCGGGCTCCTGGGCAGGCCCCCTGTAAGGACAGCCTGGTGGGAACTCAGCTTGGAGGGCCTCATCTGGGCCGAGCCCTGTGGTGCCAGCGCCGGGGTCAGGGTGCATGTCCTCCCAGGCCCCGGAGCGTGGGGAGCCTTCCCTGTGGCTCCGGGCTGAGAAGTGTGTGGGCAGCGGGAGCGGGGTGGATGGGTGTTCGTTAGGGCAAGCGCCTGGAACTTTTTGGGCCAGGGAGGGGAGCTAGGCCTGGGAATCTGAGTGCCAGCGTTCTAATGCACAGGGGGAGCTGAGGCTGGCACGTCGGGTCCCTGCCCAAGAGCTGGACAGTGCACTTGGCTGCCTGGGCCTGGGCGGCTGCCTCTAGTCATCAGGCTCAACCACAAGTGGGCCTACCTCTCAGGTGGGGAGGACCGCGCATGTGGGCAGTGGATCCAGGGGCCCCCAGGAGCACAGTCAGGAGCCTGGGATGGGGGTGTTTGGGTGGAAGGGCAGAGCAGGGAGCCTTCACACACACACCCCCCCCCCCCATAAAGGTAACTGCAGGTGGAGTTGGTGTTGGGCTCCGGGACGAGGTCGGCGGCACTGCTAACTTCAGCCGCCAGGAACGGCTCAGCGGGTTCTGGCCAGACCTGCTGGGATAGCTGGATGGGGTGGCCTGCAGGCATGACTGGGCCCATCATTTTTATTGTCTTCAGACTGATACTCCTTGGCGCCCTCTGCTGGGCAGGGGTCCTGAGGACTCAGCTTTCAGACACCTTTAGAGTTGAGGTGAAGAGGGAGGACCCTCTTTGGGGCTACAGCTTGGCTAGGAGGAGCCAGGGGCTGCAGGAGCCCAGGATGAACAGGAGTAGTAAGGCTTTCCAGGGGAGCAGAGACAGTTGGACCCGAGTGGAGAGGGAGTGAGGTAGCAGGGAGTTTTTAGAGTGGGCGAGGCGCCCAGGCCAGGTCATGGGCCTCAAGGTGAAGTTGCAGCTTGCTCCAGAGGGGGCGGGGGTGGGGACCGCCTCCATCTACAGAGGACCCTGGTGGGGGTGGGGGTGGGGGTGGGAGTATCTGCGCCAAGGCGTTGGCTCTGGGGCTTTCTGGAAAGGTCCTGACAGACCGGGATGTGGCATTGGTTGGATTTGGGGACGGCTGAATGAGAGGCTTGACTGGAGCATACCTAGGGCCCGGGGATCCTGGTACACTGGAGATGAGTCGGGGACTTTGCGGACAGTGAACACACAGTCCTGCCCTGAAGATGCAGGGAAGGCTGGGGCTAGGGCCAGATTTTGAAGAGCATCTGGAGGCCCGGGGAGTTCTGGAAAAGGAGCTTCTGGAGGCCTTGCTGCTTGTGTTTTCTCATCAGTAGTAACCGTCCAGGGTGAAGAGAATGAGTGCACTACCTGGAACCGGGCCGGCTTGGTTCCGGCTCAGTCAGCTTCCTGTGCTAGCCCCACCATCTCCATCTGCAAAATGGGCCCTCCCTCACCACCGCCCAGGCAGCCAAGGGATGCGGATCCCTCAGCACACATTTTTCAAGCCCTGTCCTCTTCCCAGCTTCTCTTAACCCTCACGAGGACTCCAAGGTGCGAATCACTCTGACATCCATCATGAGGAGAGTGAATTGCTGGGAGGTAGCATTTTCCCTGGGGTGACAGCTGTCGTTAACAAGGCTTCCAACTAAGAAAGGGGGAGCCTGGGAGGGTCCTGATGGGCCTCGTGGCCCCCAGCTAGCACCTCAGGGGTGCCTGGAAAGGCTGTAGAAGAACAGACACCTGGCCTGAAGCACCTGAGCTGCGCTGCAATCCCATCAAGGACACAGCAGCCTCGAAGTCCCTGGCAACAGGGCAGGCAGGTAGGTGGAGCCTCAAAGGGTGCCTGGATGCCCCTCCCAAGAAAAGCTGAAGGGCCTTCAGAGCCTGGCACTATATTCAATATTCAGCGTCAAGGTGGCCCAGCAAGCAGGCACCAGGTGTGCTACGGCAAGCAGGTGTCAGAGCTGCCATCCCAGCTCATCTACTGGACAGATGGCTCCCACGCTGAGGATCCTGGAGTGCCCAGCTCAGCCTGAGGCCAGAGTGCTGGGGATGAAGAGTCTGGGTAGAGGCGAGGACAGTAAGGGGGCAGGGACGTGGGAGGGCACTGAGGATAAAAAGGGGACAGGACACAGAAAATGAGGAGCAGGTAGAGAGACACAGTGGTGTGGACAAGGGGGATCCTTGAGCTCTTGCTCCCAGGATGTCTTGCCCAGGAAGATGAGGAACATGGCGAGTCTGGTCCTGGGAGCAGGTGGAAGGTTCAAGATGGGCCTCCCCACAGAAGGCTGTGAGGAGCCACTGAAGCCAGGTACTAGGTAGAGAAGGGGCAGACTGGGGAGAGGACAGGAAGGGCTACTTCAGGTGTAGAGGCCTGGGCTAGGGAACCAAGAACTGTAAGAGGGAGCGAAACGCAGGAGGTGAACCCAGTCCCTGCAGGGGCTGCGGGCCGGGACAGCAGTGGCACCGGATCTGGAAAGTGACCAGGAGTCTGTGTGGCTAGAGGGAGGGGCTCAGACCCCTCTGGAGGCTGGCCTTCGCCATGCTCCTCAGGCCTGGGGCGGGGGAGAAGAGGAAGCAGGCAGCGGAAGATGACAGTCCGGAGGACAGAGGATGACCATGACAAGGCCGGACCCCAAGCACCTGGAGTGCTCCATCCTGGAGACCCTGTACCCCAGAACCAGCCTCCCTGCCTAGCCTGATTCTGGGGCTGCTTAAACAAAGTTGGAAACTTGCATCCCATCCGGTTCCTGGGAGTGGCAGAGCCGTGGGCACTGGATGGGGTGGTACTGAGCTGGAGAGATGGGTCTCAGCGAAACGAGTTGGAAGAGGTGGAGGGGGCCACGGGTGGGCCTCTAGGGGAAGCATGTACCCGCCCAGTGGGAGCGCCCCAGGACTGCTAGGCGGGCCCACTGCGGATCAGGGGCAAGGGACCCAGACACAGCACAGGCTGGCTCACTGCGCCTCCTTTATTGTCCCCTCAGCCCCTCCATCTCAGGCTCCCTAAAATTACAAAACTCCCCCAAGCCCACCCCCAAAGCGGAGGGGTTCAGCGCGGCGAAAAAACCGGATACTCCCTCTCTGACAGCAGCGGTGACACCTTGGGTGCAAGAAGGGCGGGGTCTGGGTGGGGCGGAGCAGGGAGCACCTGAGCCTCAGGGTCCCCGCCCTCCCCACCAGGTCGCTCCCGGCCTCAGGCCTTACCCGCCGGGGCGTCGGGGCACAGCTGCCCGGGCGCCGAGGCCACGGGGGCGCGAGCGCCGGGGCGGTGGTCCTCCAGGTGCAGGGTCATGGCGGACCGCGAGGCCGTGGAGAAGGCGCACTGCATGCAAGAGTAGCGGCCCCGCGTGTGCTCCCACACGATGCGGCTCGGGGCCGCGTGCCCTGCGGGCAGGCGGGAGCCCGTCAGTCCCGGGCCCAGCCCGGAGGACCTGGCCGCGGCCGCGGGCGGAGGAGAGTGGGGGCCTTTCCCCGCCTCCCCATCGGCTCCCACGCGTCTGCCGTGGCTGGCTGCCTTGCACCTGGGCGTGCTCTCTCCTTGAACTGGGAGCACTTATTTGCACCCCCCTCCCATCCCGGGCCCACCGCAGAGCAAAGGATTCGGGAAACGGGCGCGAGTTTCACACAGAAACGCCGGCGCAGATAAAGGCGCAGGTGCCAGTAATTTTAAAGGCAAAATCCTGTATTTCGGGGGTGGCATTTCTGACCACCTGGAAAGGGGCAGGTGCTCTGCCTCCCGGCATCCCCTGGGCCGACAGGGGCGCAGGAAATTCCCTCCACCCCTCCCTGGTGATCACCTGCACGCACCTGAGGGCGCGTCGGAGCCGCCCTGGGGTCTTCGGGGGCTGCCGCCAGCACCTGCGGCCAGAGGGAGGGCGAGGGTGAGGAGCGGCCGGGAGCGCCCCCGCCCTCCGGCCGGCCCGGCCCGCGCACTCACCTTGGCTCTTCTTCCAGATGGCCGCGCTGGAGGCGGGCGGCCCGGGCGCCGCGGCCAAGAAGGGGCGCAGGCGCGGGGGGCTGAGGCCAAAGGGCGCGGGGCTCAAGTAGGGCAGAAAAGGCCCGGCGGGGGCGGGCGCGGGGGTCGTGAAGGGCTCGAGCAGCGGGAACGGCAGGCCCGGCGCCGACGCGGGGTCGGGCTCCGCGGGGCGCTCGGGCGCGGGCGGCTCCCTGTCGAGGGCCGGGGGCGGCGGCGGGGCCGGGCTCTGGGCGTGCTCCGCGCACACGTGCAGGTGCTTGAAGAGCGAGCGGTGCGTGCGGAAGCGCAGGAGGCAGTTCTCGCACCTGCGGGCGGGCACGGGGCGGGGTGGGGGGGCTGGCTCTCCGGCGCGGGGCGGCCCGTCCCACGCCACCGGGGGACCCGCCCCGCCCCGGAGGGGAGGGGTTTGCCTTCGGCGCCCCCACCCCGTCGTGGCCGCGCCCCTTCCGGGGCTCTAGGAAAACGAAAACGTCTCAATTTTGACTGAGGCGGTCAGCGTTCGTCGTGGCAGGTAATGGGGGGCTGGCCTCCGAGCCCGCCCCGCCCCGCATGCCCCCGGAGCCCCGCCCCCGGGCACACCCCGGGCACACTCCGGGCACAGGCGTCTCCGGGCGGTGGAGCAGGGGTCGCCCGAGGCCGCGCCCACTTCCAGACCCGAGGCCCTGCCTGGCGAGGAGCACCGGGGAGGAGCACCGGGCGGCGAGCGGTCAGGGGCTCACTTGAAGTAGCGGTTGGGCTTGTAGTGCAGCCGGCTGTGCGCCACCAGCTCCTGCATGCTGGGGAAGACCTCGGCGCAGCTCAGGGCCGAACAGCGGAAGAGCTTGCCTGCAGGGCGGACAGGGGGCAGAGGAGTGCCGTGGGGTGGCCGGGGCTGGCTCCCGGCTCTGCCGGCGCCCGCGCTCACTCGGGTCCCACCTCCTACCCGGGCCCTACCTTCCAGAGACTGTGTGGGTGGGCAGTGGGTGCGAAGATGCTGTGCCAGGTCGCGAACGCTGGGGAAACTGAGGCAGCAGCCAGGGCTGGAGCAGGGTATTTGCTTCCCTGCAGGATGCACAGAGCAGGGGGTTACCTCTCTCGTCCTCACCCATAGGGCCCTGTCCAGGGCTCTGCCCCCCACCGGCCTGAGCTGCTAGCAGACAGGCTGAGCCCGCCTGGCTCGCTGCTGTGGTTACAGTCCGGCATACACTTGGCGCGCAGCAGATGGCAATTCCCTCTAGATGGGCCTCAAGCCTGCGGATAATCTGCGCTGCTCACTCCTCCTGTTCAGAGCCTAAGGCTCCCCCGAAGGCCCGTCACAGGTCACCTGGTGGTGGGCGTCGTCTGGGAGGCCGCAGGTCCTCACTGGTCCCGGAGACCGTGCCGGCCGGGCCAAAGCTGGCGCCCGGGCCAGGCTGACCGTTGTCTGGCGCCGGGGAGGCATCCTGTTGCGTCGCGCCAGGCCCCCCAAGGTCCCACACTGGGGGCGTGGGTGCCCGGTCCGGGCCTGGCTCCTCCCCCATGGCATAGGACGCGGCCGCAGCAGCCTCAACCGGGGGCAGCACCTCCGTGTGGGTCTCAGTGGAGCTGGACTCTGCGGTGGTCGGTATGTCGGGGCCGGGCCCCGAGGGGTCCCCCTCCTGGTGGAAGAGGCAGGGGGGACCTCTCAGTGTGCCTGGGGATCCCTTCCACGAAGACAGGGCCCAGCCTCCCTCAGCAGCGGGTGCCCAGGGGCCGCCATCCGAAGGAGTCACCCTACGGGGGGCAGCCTGGGCGGGTACGGCCCTCGCCTCCCGTGTCCTGGCCTCTGGGAAGAGCTGGGGGTGCCCCAAGCGCACAACCGATTACCCGCCCGAGGCCTCCCCAGCCCCCGATGGGGAGGTGGGGGGCCGCCTGCGCAGCGGGGCGCGGCCTGGGGGTGGGCGGGCAGTGAGTGACGGAGAGGCGCTGGAAAGAGCGCGGGCAGCCAGGGGCTGAGGGCTCGGAGGTGATCCAGGGAGCGGCTGCGGGCGGCGACAGACAAACGCGCGGCCGCCCCCATGCGCGCCCCCCGGCGCCCCACCGGAGCCGAGCTCGGCGCGGGGAGCCCGGAAGTCCAGTGCTCAGGGGCCTATCCCGAGCCCGGTGGGCGGGGCCCAGCGAAGACAGGCCCGGAAGTGCGGGGTGGGGCGCCCGCCGAGTGACAGCCAGGGACGGGCGAGTGCCCGGATGTGGGGGCGGGGTCGGCCGGGGGTGTGCGCGCCACGGGCCGCTCCCCGCCAGTCCCCGGTGGCTCGCCGCACCCGCGCCCACAGCGTCGCGCTCACCATCCTCGGCCCGGCTCGGTCTTTTGTTTCTGCGGCTCCGGTGGCTCCGATTGAGGTTACAGGGAGTTTCAAGGCGGCCGCAGGCTCGCGCTCATGTCGGCGCCATTTTCCGCCTCCTGAGTCTCGCGAGAGCGGGGGCGGGGTCTCGCCGAGCTCCTGGGGGCGGGGTCTCGCCGAGCTCCTGGGGGCGGGGTCTCGCCGAGCTCCTGGGGGCGGGGCCTGCGGCCGGGCGCCGTCGGGGCGCTCGCGCGTCCCCCGGGCCGTCTGCAGCGACGCCCGCTCGCGGAGACCCGGGGCGGAGGGGGCCTCTCTGCGGGGTCCTCGTTGCCAAGTGGGCATCCCTGCGCTCGCCCATCCTGTCACCAGCCCTGTGAAGCCGGTAACAGCGGTTCCCTTGTTTCGAAGGGTCCTGCTGCTGGGGCCGCCTCCTGGGAGGGAGGTTGCCCGCGGGGGTCGGAGCTGCCCGCGCCCCTGGGCCGCAGCTGCAGCGGGGCCTGTGGAATAGCCGGGGCGGGCGGAGCTCCCTGCCCGTCCTCACGCTGATGAGGCGGGTGTAGCCCGGGATGGAGAGGTGGGCCCCCAGCAGGGCCCTGCCCCGCCCTGAGTGTACCCCAGCGCCCAGAGGCCAGTGGGACAGGGAAAAAAAATCCTTGCCCTCAGGGGCCGCTCACATTTAAAAATCGGGAAACAGACAATACATTAACAATGGCAGACAACAAATTTGAGTCGTATTAAGTACGACAAACAATAAAAAAAAAAGAAGTGATGGATCAGGGAAGTCTCTTTGATGAGGTTACTGCTGAGCTGTCACCTGATGGCCAAGGAAGGAGGGGCCGGACACTCTGGGAAGAGCCGCTGTCCAGGCAAGTGTCCCCGGTGTGGAGCCACAGGCTTGTCCTTTTCAAGGTTTGGGGAGGACACCAGGGCACTACTGGAGCAGAACAGAGGTGGGAAGTCAGAAGGTGAACATGCACAGGGAAGGTTATGCAGATCTTTGCACTGTGGAAGGTTCTGTGATTTGTTTTAAGCACTGATAGATTTTCAGCAGATCAACATATGCTTTTTGATTCTGGAGGTGGTTTGTTTCCAGAATAAACTATGGGGAGTGGGAAAGTAAGTCTTGGATCTCAGATCTCTATGATCCATTCTTTGTCCACTCATGAGGCATTGAGTTCCAGACTCCTCCATGAGAACCAGCAGTCCCTCTCGTGCGTGTCCATCCAGAGACCATGAAACCATCAACTCAAAAGAATTTGCAGTGTCTGTTGCAGCACCATTTACAACAGCTAGAACATGAAAGCAACATAAGTGCCCTGACAGAAGACTGGATCAGGAAGGTGTGGTAGAGACCTTCTTGGTGGCGCAGGGGGTTAAACTTCAGCACTATGAAGCAATCTGCAGCTACTGCAGCACAAGTTCGAACCCCGGCAAGGGAGGTGACCCACATGGCGCAGCAGACCTCTCCTGTCTCCCTGCTGCTCCCCTCAGCAGTGTATTTCAGTGGATCTGCCTGTTCTGCTCCCCACTCTTTCAGGTGAACCCTCTCACCACCCATACCTCTGGCCTGTACCCCAGTTCTTGTATGCATAAATAAATCTTTAAAAAAAAAAGGTGTGGTAGATCCATACAACAGAATATTATTCAGCCATAAAGAAAGGTGGAACCTTCCCATTTACCGCAAAATGGAAGGAGTTCAGGGCCTCCCTGAAGGCGCAAGGAGTTAAGATGCAACCTATGAAGCAGTCCACAGCCTCTGCAGCACGAGTTCAATCCCCAGCCGGCCAGGGAGCTACCCACATGGTGCAGCAGACCTCTCCTGACTCACCCACTGCTCCCCTCAGCAGTGTACTTCGGTAAATCTGTCTGTTCTGTTCCTCACTCTGGTGAATCCTTTCACTCCCCCACACCTGTGGCCTGTACCCCAGCTCTTGTATGCATAAATAAATAAATCTTTTTAAAAAATGGAAGGAGTTCAGGGAATAATGTGCAGTGAAGCGAGTCAGAATAACAAAAGACAAATAATCACAAGGCAGATGATCCCACAAAGCACAATAATTTATTGAAACTAGCAGATATTGATAAAGGAAGTGAGACTTCTGAGGTCAAGAAGAAGGGGGGAGGAAGGAAGGGCGACAAGGGATAGAAAGGATGATGATGGGGGGAAAAATGATTAAAAAACCCAAAGATGGCTTTGAGGCTGCGTTGAGGTGTGTGCGCGCGCACATGAGTATGCAGGGGCGAGTGGTGCAACCCAGGGAAGGGTGGGTGAGGTCTCAGGAAGGACAGGAACATAAGGAGGCTGTGGGAGGGGACGGCTTTAAGAAATGTTATAAAAGTCAACAGGATGTGGAGCTGCCATGTGGGCAGGACCGAAGTGACTGAGGTTTGCAGTCTGAGGATGCCTTGGCCGAGATGGGAGGTGCTGTTAGAGCGTGTCAAACCCGCTGCCTCCTCCATCCAGCGCACCACATTAACCTCACCTAACTGTCCTGCCCAGAAGCCCTACTTCCTGCAAACGGGGTGGTGCCGGCATGTCAGTGGGGCCAGAGGGTCATACTCCAAAGCTCCGAGAGTGGCGGGGGGCAGCTTGCATGGTGATGTCAAGGGCAGAGAAGGGAGAGAGAGCCCCCATTCCTCCACTGTGCCCCACACACGCCCAGCTGGGAGACTAATGATGCTAAGCCCGTCCTCACCCCGTTTCGGGAGAGGCACCGGTGGTTTTCGAAAAATCGAAAATGGAAGCAATCAGGAACATTCAAGGGACTGGTTCGAGGCTTTTGTGTAAAGACTGACAAATAACAAGGCTGTTGGGACTCAGCTGCAGCCTTGGGATTTTTGCCCAGCCACACCCAGCTCCCCAAGGTGGGTCAGAGCATGAGGGAGAAGGTGCACCCCTGCAGTACATTCCGCAGGCGTCTGCGATCCCCCACACTCCATTTGCTGGGTGCCTCTGCCTGGAGTCACGGCTGAGCCCGCACCTTGTGTTTGCCATCAAGATCTGCTGAGACTGACCCTTGTACTTCCTGCACCTCCAGCAATGCCCACTCTCTCTGCACCCCCAAACTTCCCCACTACCCCAGCCGGTGTTGCTTCTCTGACCCCGTCCAGCTGTCTTCCCGAGACTGGCTGCTCTTTGAGGGGCCAGGAGCAGAGGCAGGACCATTTGGAAAGTCAGGAGCCTCAGATTCAGCCTGTGCAGACTCCCGGTTACAGGGGGCTTTGACGGGCTCAGACCCCAGCACTGGCTGGGAGACCGCTGGGGGGGTGAGGAGCTAGACTGAGCCTCTATACCTGTGGCAGAACCTGCAGAGAGTCGGGGCCCTGAATGTCGGAACCAGTCCTGATTCCAGGTGAGAGGGGCTAAGAAGATACAGACATGGGCTGGGGGCAGGGGCCGGGGGTGACCCAGGATGGACTGTGGGGCATCATGTGGGACCTGCCTCCTTCCTCAGGGTCCAGCTGGGTGCCAGGGGCGTTGAGGGCCACAGATTCAAAGCTGACAGGAACCACTGGGCCATCTTCCACAGGAGCTGGTCCTGGCTGGCCAGCTGCAGCTCTGGGAGAGGCGCGGGCGCCGTGGGGTCTCGGGCAAGAGGCTGAATGTCTCTGAGCCTCCATTTTGCACCTGCAACACGGATGCTTCTGCTCCTCCCTCACAAGGTGGGAGAGGTGGGCCTTCCAGTTGGCATTCAGGAAGTCATTCATGCTTTCGCCTGTCAAGCTTTTATTGCCTCAGTGTTGCGAGGAGGGAAGTCATACTTGTTAAGCCCCATCCCCCAACTGTGTCTGCACTTTCCCCACAGGATGGCCTCTTTCAGCATTTGCAAGGTAGCTGGGAGGTAGGTTCTGCTGTTAGCCCGCCTGGCACAGGAGGAGACAGGGACGCGGGCAGAGAGTGTGACGGGGAGGCCGGCATCTCCGGACGGCTGCAGTGCTGACGCCAGACCCAGGACATGGGCCGGCTGGACTGGAAGCCGCAGGATGGAGCCGTTTGGACAACCGAGCCAAGGAAAATGAGACCAGCAGCAGGCCTGCCCAGGTGGCGGCAGGCAGGTGGGCGGCAGGCCTCCAGGTGCCCCTTCTCAGATCTTCTCCACATAGTTCCCCGGGAAGAGGCCTTCCTGGCCATGCAGCCGGCCTTTCCACCAGCCCGAGGGATCTGTGGGAGAGAAGCGAGCGTGAGGCGCTGCCAGCTCCGCGTCTGCTTTACTCGTTTCCACTGGCCCGGCGCAGGGCGGAGACCGGGAGTTGACGGGCAGAGGGAGGGAGGGGCGGGCGCATGGGTTTCCTTGCCACCGACTTGCACTGCCCACTTCTAGACCACTGCGGTCCTCCTGCCTCATCCACCCCTGCAGGCCCTTCCCGCCATCGCCGTGGTGGGGCCAGGAATGACTTCAGCAGAAGGTGCTGGGCTCCGCTCTTAGCCCTGGGCTTGACAGCGAGACAGACACGGATCGGGTGTGATACTGTGAAGCCCCCAGGATGGCTTAGGAGGTGACCCTCTACCCAAGGGCTCTAGTCTGTGCAGCCGCTGGCGTGAGGAGGGGCTCTCTGGCAGGGGCTGGGAGCCGGTCAGCTCGTTCGCCCACAGGAGGGTACAGGGTATTGGTGGTTCTGACGCCTCCTGCCTCTGCCCTGGCGCACGCACCTTCCAGGAGGATCTCGATGACCTCGTTCACATTGAAGCTGAGCTCGTCCACATCCTGGCCCACATACTGGTACAGGGCCCGGCACCGTGGGCCATGTGCTCGCGGCTGGGGCTTGGGTCGGCCCGCAGGGGGCACGGGGCGCTGCCCCATACTGCGCTTCCTCTGCAAGCTGCGGACACAGGGGGCCCGTCACAGCCCCAGGCACCCTCCCACACCCTCCCACACCCTCCCACGCGCGGGCTGCCCTCCCAACCACCTACCCAGCTACACCCTGGTCAGGCACATTGAGGAATTCTGTGTTGTGCTCCGAGGGGGGCCGTGCCCGGTGGCGTCTGCTGGCCCCCAAGGCTGAGGATGGAGGGCCCTGTGGAGGCCGGTGGGAAACCCCTCCAGATGTGATCTCCATAGGCAGGGGACCCCTCTTGACAGAAGGGGGCACTCCGTTTCGGTCCAGGCCTGTGGCAGAAATAAGGATGGCAACCCTCAGGGTGTTAAAATGAGGGCTGGGGAGAATTTGCTCTAAGCTCTGGTCTGGAGGAAGAAGCAGCCCCTCTCTCAAGCCTGCACGGTGAAGACTGAGCCAGAGGGAGGGACCTGGGAACTTTGGGAACCTGGAGGGCCTTTGGGGAAGGAAGGTCTTCTGCAGGCGGGTTCTTGGAGGCGGGTTGTGAAGGCTGAATAGGAGCTCGGGTGAACTTGGCATTTGGGAGACAGGAAGACCAAACAGCCCAAGCAAAGGCGAGGAGGAAAGAACAAATTTCATAAGTTGGCAAAATAAGATAAAGTTTACACGATGGGGGTGTAAGTGGAGGAGAGAGGGGTCCGTGCTTAGTTGGGGTCAGCTTTTGAAGGGCTCTGAATACCAAACTGTGCTTAGTTTCTGCTGTGTGGGAGCCAGAGCAGCATGGCGAGTTCAGCACAGAGAAGAGAGTGTGGTCGACCTGGAAGAGGCGCCCCCCCATGGCTCCTGGTTCAGGGGTTCAATCAAGTGTTTACGCCCCTGCTTCCCACTCTGCTGTGCCCCTGGGGCGAGCACTGTCTGCATACTCCCCCCACCCACCCCCGCTCCCCTGCTCCGGGGTGGGAGGGACAATAATGCCGTGTTGCATGAGCAGCCTTTGCTTTGGGCTACCGGACACCGTGGCACTGTCTGGGGAGGACAGAAGCCATCTGTGGTCTTAGAAACCTTTTCAACCGGTTTCTCCTCTGTCAGTAAACCCGTTGTCACGCCCTGAGCCTGAGTGGTGTCTTGCCATTGTGAGCGCAGGAATGAGGGCCCTAACCCGGGAGCCCCCTCAACTTTGCTTGGTGTCAAGCTTTGCCCGTCAGATCCTGTTGACGGAGGTCCCGAGCAGGTCACGGGGCGGAGGGGCGGGGGAGATGCTGAGTGGGAAATCTCACCTCTGGGGGCCGTGGGGGCTGCCCGGCACGGGGCCTGGGTCGATCTTCGAGGTTTTCCCTGGGCCACCCCCTTCCGAGTCGGCTCTGGAAGGATGTGGGGGTTTGAGGGATGGCTCCCCCTCCCACAAGCCCAGTCCACGTCGTGCTTCTGGGGGGCTTCCTCACCCCATGCCCCAGGCTCTCTGCCTGTCCCACCAGCACCGCCCCCAGGTAATAGCACATCAGCTCCCCCAGTAATTGCTCCTGGCCGGCCCCAGGGCTCCCTCACCTTCATCAGCCGTGCTGACCCTCTGGACATCTCGCGCCCACCCGCTGGTCACTTCACTAGCCCCGGCGACGCCGCGAGCGCTCGTCTACTGTGTCTCTAGAGCCGCCCCTCCACGGCCCGCGCCACTCCCGGACCCTCTCCCGCCCGCCACCCGGATGGGCCCGCGCGCCCCCCCGCGCCCCCAGCCCCGCTCTTCCCGGAGAGCCTTCGGCCCCGCCCCTACTTCTGCGCGGACTCACTGGAGCTCTTGGGCAGCCCGTCACCCACGCTGACCGTGAGGGTGCGGCCGCTGGCCTTGAGCACGGCCACCTCGCCAGAGCCGCGGGCGAAAGCCACACTGCGGGTGCCACCTCCGCCCCAGCCCTCCTTCTTCACCCGGAACTGTAGTCTGTGGGAGAGGGGGAGCTGTGAGGCGTACCCCAGGGGTTCACCACCCCATCCCTTCCTGGCCAGGCGGGGGAAGCCGGGACAGAGCACGGTCTGGCCGACGGGGGCGGGGAGAAGGGGCGCTGGGCCCAGCCCGGCCGGGGGTGGCGGTGCGGGTGGGGTGCACGCACATGTCACTGAAGGTGAGGGGCAGGGGCCTCCGGACCGACTCCTCGAAGCGCTTGCACAAGAGGCTGACGAACTCGGTCTTGAAGACGCTCTCCAGCAAGCTGTCGGCCGCGTCTTCTTGGAGGATGAAGAAGTCGTCCTGCCGCGTGCTGGGGGTGGGTGGGGGGGTGAGGGCGGCGGCAGGACCGAGGGTGGCGCCGCAGGGGAGGGTGACACAGGCCAGAGGACGGTGCGGTGGCGCTGGGCTGGTGGCGCCAGAGGGCCAGGCAAGGGGAGGGCCGGATGCTACTGGCCCTGAGTGTGGGCGCAGGAGGTGACAGGCAGGGCGGAGAGGGCTACAGGTAGAGCAGCAGGTAGGTGGTCAGGGTGCCGTGGGGTAACCAGGATGAGGGCAGCGGAGGATGGGGGGCCGTGACTGTGGGCAGGTGGGGGCCTGGCCTCACCTGAGGGACACACCCCGCAGGGCCTGGATCTCCACTTTCTTCTTCAGGATCTCACGCACCTGGCCCTTTTCGGGTCCCTTCTTCACCTTCTCCCGCCCGATCACATACACACATTTGGGGGTCAGGATCAAGTCCCTCTTGATGGACTGTGAGGACACAGAACCAGAGGTTGGTGGCAGTAACCTGGGCATGGCAGCTTGGCCCCACGGAGTCAACCCCAGGCAAGGGGTAGTGCTGGCAGGTTAGGCGCAGGACAGGTTATGTGAGGGTGTCCCTCCATGCGCAGGTGTGTCGGTGGTTACATTACATAAAAAATAGGAATGTAAAAAACAGGAAGGGTATACCAGCTAGGGAGGGGTGTCCGGGCCAGTGAGCAGGTGCAAGCTAGGTGAGTAGCTACTGGATGTGCGTGCCCAGGCCAGGTGAGAGTACACCTGTGCACAGGTATATCTGGGTCACGGATCTACCTAGACCGGGTGAGGGTGTCCCTAATGGATAAGTGTGTCCAGATAAGTGAGATGACCCTGTGGGCAGGGCTCCCAGGTGAGGTGTGTAATTTTGCACAGGTGTGTCCGGCCAGGTAAAGATGTATCTGATGGATATGTGTGTCTGACATATTTGATGGACAGATGTGTCCATGCCTGTTGGGTATATACTTATGGACAGTCGTGTCTGGGCCAGGTGATGGTGTACTGTTGGGGGTGCCAGCCTGGGACCAGGTTCCCAGCTGTGCCCACCTACTGGCACCTCACCTTGAAGCGCCGGTCATACTTGGTAACCGAGTCGGCGAAGTCCACCCGCTCCCTCTTGCCCAGGAACTGACGCAGCTCGGGCCGCTCCTCCAGGCCCAGGTAGTCCCCGACAAAGTTCCGATTGATGCTGTTCCGCCTCCGCTCCTTTTTGTTAAGCAGGATGTTGGAAGCTGTGGGGACAGGGATTGGGGTCTGAGGTCATGGCCTGGCTCTTCCAGGTTCTGGAATCCTCACCTTGAGGCCCCATGTACAGCTTCTCACCTTCCTCCCGCATCTCCTCGTACTTCCGGACCGCCACATGGCGCCGCCAGGCCTTCTGGATGGTGCGCGCGAAGCCGTCGAACTTGCGCTCTCGCATCTCCTCCAGAAGGAAGAGCTGGGGCAGAGGGCGGGCAGTGGGTCGGGGCTCCTCAGGGCTCGCAGCCTCGGTTCTCCCAAACCCACCGCATGCAAGCTCATGCACTGGGGTCAGACACTTTTCTCTAAATGCCTGTGCCCAGGGGCCCTCCCACTAGGGGTCACACGCGCCTGCGTTCAATTCTAACTGTGCGTTTTTCTTGCTGAATTAGATCCCAGCTCTGCCCCCGGCTAGCTGTGTGGTCTTGCCGGGAGCAGCTCGGCATGGTGTTTCTCACACTGGTGGGTAGGCCTGGTGCGCCACCCTGGCCTGCAGATTTCAGAGCCGGTGGGGGGTGACCCCATGGGCATCTTAGTCGACAAAGTGCCATCAATATGAAATCCGCTGTGAGGGGCGACTGGCTGTGCACAGTCTGCGAGGCGGTGTGGGGACCCTAGAGAGGAGGCTTTTGCAGAAAGCAGAGAAAAGGCTTTTGAGCTTTCAGTGTCTCGAGCCAGAGGGCACTTAGCAAATAAGCTATCTTGGAGCAAGTTAGGGTGGAAATGCCGTGAAGGATATTAATCATATGGAATATAACTTACTGAGGAGAGGAGCCCTGGGAATGGAAATATGATAAACACAGAGTGAGCGAAGCCATGGCGTGCCGGGCAAAGATGAAAACAACCAACCAGAATAGGACGAACAACAAACTGGGAAACACCCCGTCTCCTACGCGTGCAGTGATAAAGCCTGTCCATCCGGGAAGGTGCAAATTATTATGAAAATAAGATTGAGCTTTATTTAGGAAAAAACCAGGCTCCCTGCAAAGACTAAAATATTTCTGCAGGTAACTGGTTCAAATGCACTTTCAAAAACACCTTCAAGGACTTTTAAAACCCTCCACTGGGGCGTGGAGGGCTTATAACTTCATGAAAGCTGGGGCGTCTTCTCACCAGAAAGGAGAAAGCCAGCAATGCCGTCTCAGGGAGTGGGGTGCGTCCTGTTCACCCCTCAGGCCGCAGTCTGTGGTCTGTCCAGGCATGTCCAACACCTCGTCTAGTGTGTCTGGGGGTACGGAAGTGCAGGCTGTGGCTTGCCAGGGAGATGACAGGCAGCTTGCAGAACTGGGAGGGGGTCAGTGAACCAGGCCCCCAGCCCCTTAGCTATTCAGGGCAGATGGAACAAGTGCCTCCGGCTTCCCTATTTCCGCCTGGAGGTGAGGCCCTGTTTTCACTCTGGGAAGGGAATCTTTGGGTGTAATGAGCTTAAATGCATTTCATGCTGCAGAGGGCAGGAATGGGTGTGCATAAGGGTGTGCACACAGGCCCCACATCTGGGGTTATCCTGGTAAGAACTGGGTTGAGTAGTGTGGCCCCTATTCATATTCACCCTGATCTGTGAATGTGCCTACTCTGTAGACAGGGTGCTCGCAGATGAAATCAAGCTAAAGGGAGGTCACCCTGGATTAGGGTGGACTCTACTTTTACTAAGACTGATGTCTTTATTTATTTATTTATTTTAGATTTTATTTATACAAGCACTGGGTACAGTTAGAAGCGCGGGAGGGTGAGAGAATGCACCAGAAACAGAGTGGGGAACAGAACAGGCAGACTGACAAAATACATTGCTGAGGGGAGCAGCGGGCGGCAGGAGAGGTCTGTGCGCCACGTGGGACCCTTGCTGGTGGCCGGGGAGCAGCCGGGGATCGAACCGGCACTGCAGAGGCTGCGGGCAGCTTCACAACCCAGTGCTCAGCCACCAGGGGAGGCCCATAAGACTGATGTCTTGATCAGCAAGCGAGCACTGGCCCAGATGCTGAGGGGGTCACGTGACGACGGAGGACGCATGGGAGTTAAGGCTTGCTCCTTGCTCGAGATCTCCAGAAGCAGCAGGAGGCAGAGAAGGACTCTCCCTCGGAGCCTTCAGCGGGGGTACGGCCCCCCAAGCTGTGCTTTTGGATTTTTAGCCTCCAGAAATACGTGAAAAAAAATTCTGTTGTGTTAAGTCGTCTGGTTTGTGGTGCTTTGGAAGACCGATGCACCTGCGATTGTGTCAGCTCAATGGGGGTATAAAATGTTGGGGGGTATGTCTGAGTGCACGTTTATAAAGAAAATTCCAAATCAGAATGATCTCAACACAAGCGGGTTTTGGTTGAGAAAGGTCCCAATTCCATTACAATAATTTAATCCCTTGATTTCTTGGGTTTTTTTACACACAGCACAGGCAAGCTGTTGCTGTGTTTTCTCTCTTTTCGTTTTACTAAAATTATTTTCATCGCAATTGTTTTTTCCTGTGTCAATTTTCAGGGTATCTTTGTCTTTATAAAAATGTCCTTTGTGTTATTATTTCAGATATTTCACCTCAAACTGTAAAGATGGGAATTTCGGTTACAATTGGATTTCACTTTCTGTGGCCATAGCCAGTGCTAGTTTTATTTGGTTTATTTTTTTTCCTCAGTGTCAATTTTTATATCTTCAAAAGTCAAATTGCACGATTTGCCAGTAATCGGCAACATGGATTCTTTCTTTTTCTCACTCCCTCTCATTCTCTTATTTTTCTTGCTCTTCCTCGCCTTCCTTCTAGTTACTAATTCGATTGTTCCAGGTGCGGTTTTAACCATGGGCAACTGTGGCTTGGGAGAAATTTCTATCAGTCATAATATCTACTTAGAATGTGGTTTCTAGACGCCTGCTTATCCCTCCGAGTAAAGTGCATCCACCGGGAAAAGCTTTAGGGAGGTAGACGCAGACAAATTTGGAGGGACAGAAACCTCCAAGCCATAGCTATGAAATCTCTAGGGCCCACGCCTCAGGGTATGTTTCTGGTTTGGTGCAAGAACACACACTTGCAAGTTCCACCAACATCAAGAGAACCGCATCAACAACCTCCCTGGCATCTTCAAAAGCTCCCAGAGGTGCCATGAGAGCAGCTGGTGAGGCACCTGGTGTACCCAGCTCCACCCCCTCGCCCCCCCCCCCCCGCGGTCCTCCCCACCCCTGCAGGTTGGTGAGCTGGGGGTTCCCCTGGGGAACCTGGCTTCCCTGGGGAGTCTGTGAAGCAGCTTTCTGCTCCTCCTCAAGTAGCAGCAGATGGCCAGCTGGCCCTCAGTGGATTTCCTGCTCTCGATTTTTGTCCTTGTCATTGTGGCTTAAAAAAACAATCACCCCAGATTTACTGAGATGTAACTGACAAAATATCGCACGGCTTGAGATGCACGATGTGCTCATTTGAGACACGTGTTTGGTGAAATAACTACCCGAGCGTCAGCTGACGCCTCCACCGCAGCACGGAATCGCTGTCTCTTTCTTGTGGTGGGAACCCTGAAGGGTGCTCGCGTAGCTGCTTGCCAGCATGTAACTCAGCATTGCTCGCCCCCCCTTCTGTCCCCAGGTCCCCAGCACTTGCTTGTCATCTTTGCTCTGTTTTCCCCGTGGGAGGGGGTGCTTCCAGCCTCCCGAGGCCCAAGGGCTGCTGAGGGACCCTGGGAAGCTTGTTGACAGTCTCAGGGTGTGGAATGAGGTTTGTTTGACAGGCTGGGCCGGGGCAGGCCTTGGAACAAGAGAATTTGGCCTGAGTCGCAGGCTCAGGGACTCAAGGTGTCCGTAAGTGAAGGAATGAAGCGAGAGAAGAAAGGAATGGAGGAAAGAAGGCAGGAACCAGGGACAAGACGGTGTCCTGGATAAGCTGTGAGTGCTTCTCCCTTGCACGAGGCTTGTCCTCACAAGCTCACACGCCTCTCCGCCTCCTTCCTGTCCCCCGCGAACTCTCCAGTTAACCTGGTTGTTCTGAGCACCTCCCTCAAGGCAGGCACTGGGTAGGGACTGGGTTTTGTCTGACCATCGCCTAGTCCTGCAGGGCAGCTGTGACCCTCCCTGCTTTCCAGGTGGGGAAACTGAGGCCTGGAGAGGTGAGGAGATGTACCTGTGGTCACAGTGGGCTGGGAGCAGGACCTGTGTCCCCGCGGGCAGCTGATGTGGGGTCCGTGTGTCTGTCTTGCACTTACCGACTCAGGGTTCTTGACGAAGACCTTGCTGCTCCCCATCTGGTACTGGTCCGGTTCCATGTTCACCGCCCGGAGCAGGTGCTGGACCCCTTGGCGCTCGTCGCCACGCCAGTGCGGCCACGTCTCGGGGGTCAGGATGGCATACCTGGAGGCAGAGGGCGGGTGGGAATGCTGCAGCGGATGCCCATGGGCAGCGGTTCTACAGGGCACGGAGGGGGACAGGGCGCTTCACCTTTGCAAGAACTTGGAGAACTGACGGCGGTAGGCGAACCCCGCGCGGCGCACCCTGATGTTCTCCTTCAGGCCCAGGTACTCGACCTGGTGCTTGACCCTGGGGGGAAGGAAGCCTGAGTCCCCTGGGGGACTCGTTAGTTCTGGGGAGGCTGGTTGCTGCTGAGGGGGACTGGAAAAGCAGACCTGGAAGCTGTGGGTCTGGAGTCGTGCTGCAGGCAGTTTGGGGGTGGGGCTGGAGGTCTGGGAGGGGGTTCCTTGCCACCCTAGAGGTCAGCTGGGGGCCAGGTCCAGGGCCACTTCTTTGAGCGGGGAATGAGGGGAACTGTGCTAGTCCCTGGGTCACCCCACAGTCAGCCCGGGGTCATCCTAGGGTCTGGGGGTTCTTGGCCAGTGATAGGAGTAACCCTAGAACACTGAGGGCTTTGTGCTGGTCCTCAGAGTCAGCCTGGGCTGGTCCTGGGATAGGTGATGTGATCCGGGGAGGCTCTGGAAGGGGGGTCAGTCTAGGGGCAGGCAGCATGGGCTGGCCAGACCAGGGAGGGGGTCACCTGCTCTCCTCCCAGTCTCGGGGCTTCTTGGTCTCGTTGGGCTTGATGCAGCGGATATAGTGGGGCGTGCATTTCTTCAGCGTGGCCACCAGGTCATTGGCTTGTTTCTGAGTTGAAGGAGAAGCAGAGGTGGGGGTTGACCTATGGGACCCACTGACCCCTCTCTCCTCTCGCTCGAGAGAGACAGGCACGCCAGGAGAGGGGAGGCCGGCACCTGACGGCCCGTGGAGTTCAGGGGTCCCTGCTCCCGCCACGTGGAGTTTCTAGCGTGCGTCCCCTGGGCTCTTAAACCTGAGACTAGCAGCTCTCACTTCTGCCGGACTCGCCACTTAGCCTAGCACAGAGGAGGTGCTTAGCCAGTGTTTGTTGGTAGAGTAACAGATCACACGCCCAGAACATTCTGCCCGTCCTCGGGGACAGGCACTTGGGAAGCAGAGAACTGTGTGGTTGAGACACCAGCCATTTTAGCCCCTTGGGGGTGGGAGAGCGCCTGGGAAGGAAACCATTCCCGGGGGGAAGGGGGTGGGCAGGAGAGACCTGGTGAGGGTCCGCGTCCCCGCCTAGCAGGTGCGACCGCTCCACAGGTGTCACGCGTCCTGCGCTTGCCGGTGGACTTTGTTTAAACTCTTTGGTACGTGTATTGCGCCACAGTGAAAAGCAATGACCAACATTATTTTTAGGATGATGGCTCATGTCTGGAGTTAGGGAGTGGCCAGGGGCCTCAACGAATCTAAATCTAATTCAAGCCCCCAGGCCTGGAGCTGGAGGCAGACCCTCTGCTGAACAGAGCGTGCCAGAGACCCCGGGGCGGGGGAAAGACACCCCCGCGCTGTCCACACCCAGCTCCTCCGGCCCGGGCCCACCTTGATCTTGGAGCCCGCGGTGCTGGGGCGGCCCTTCTTGTCCCCATCCAGCTTCTCGGGGAAGAGCATGTGGAGGAAGACCCTGCATGGTGATAAAAGGGGTCAGAGTGGTGCAGACGCGGGGTGCCCTCTCCCGGGGCGGGCTGCCTTGGCGTCCAAGACCAGAGGGCACGCCGGGCAGTAGGCTTCTCCCTGAGCGCGGGAGTGCGGGGTGAGGCGCAGCGCGCCGGCTTGGTCCTTCGGCGCCATGATTCATTTGCTCCGTGACGTCTTCCTCCGTGGGCACGCGCCACTCGGGCAGCGAGTGCAACAGAATGGAGTTGAGTGAAGCAGCAAAGGAGATCTAGAGAGGCAGCCCGCAGGCGGGAGGGGCATCCCCGTGGGCTGGCATGGGTGTGCGAAGAAATACAGACGAGGATGCCCGCAGCGGCAGCCCTGTTTGTGCCAGACAGACAGAGCCCCAGCCTAAGTGCCCATCGGCAGGGGGCTGGCTTCGTGCACTTTGGTACGTTCGCAAATCCCTCCCTCATGTCCTCAAGGAGAGGGATGGCGGAAAGTTCTAGAACGAGGTGGTGGTGCGGGTGGTGAGGGTGGCCCAATATTGTGCATGTACTAAATGCCATTGGGTTTTACAATTTTAAATGGTTAAAAGGTAGATTTTGTATTAGGTGGATTTGATCACCATTAAAAGAAAGTTTGAGAAAATGAACAGCGTCCTCTCTGCTCTTGGCTGTTTTCCCTCACACTGTCCGGGGTTCTCAGACTTCGCCGGGATCGCCCAGAGCTCGAGGGAACACAAAGGGCTGCGCCCCACCTGCCCAGTTTCTCATTCTCAGGCGGGGGCTGGAGGCCAATAATTTCTCACAAATCCTCGGTCCTGGAGAGCAGCTGGGCCACGCGGCTGGCCTGCTGTCCTCAGGGGGCGCCCGAGGCCGGGGAAGGAGGCCGGTCTGAGCGGGTGTGCCCTGAGCGCTAAAACACACAGCGGATTTCCAAGAGCAAATGGACGGATGGAGGGAGAAAGTGTATAACTTTCCATGGATCATTTTTTAATTTTGATTGCATGGTGCGGTGATGCTGTGGGTCTGGTGAGTTAAATAGAACATTTTAACGTTGATCTGTGTCTCTTCTTCTGTCTCAAGGGGACGTCCTAGGAGATTACACAAAGGGTGAGGGTCGAGGGCAGTTTGTCGCGAGGAATCTTTTCAGGTGATGCAGTTTTTCCAAACTGGGTGGAGGGGCTGGCTGTGCGCACTGTGTGCGTTCACTGAGTATCACGTATTCTACAGGTGCATTTGACGGTGTGTAGCTTAGACGCACACAGGTATATCCCCAAGCTGTGCGATTTATAAATGTAAATTATGCCTAAGGCTGTTTTAAAATAATTACATACGTGACTTGAAGTCTCTAGAACATGCGCTAGATCGGTGCTCAGCCCTGGATCAATGGTTCTCAAATGCTCCTCTGTGCTGGGGGGTGGGGGTGGAGGGTGGGGGTGTGCTGGGGGGTGGGATGTAGAGTGGGGGGGTGCTGGGGGTGGGCTGGGGGTGGGGGGTGGGGTGGGCTCTGGTCCATAGGTCTGGAGCGGAGTCTGAGATTCCGCCTCTAGCCAGCTCAGGGGACTCGGGTTGCTGGTCCTGCAGCCACACTGCAACCCTTGAAGGGCTGTTGATCCACGGCTGTCCCCAGATGTTATATTCTCTTTGCCTTTTTCTCTAGCTCAGTGTCTGTCTCCCTACCTGACTCAACTCAAGGAGAGCATGGCATTCTCGGACCTGGTCAGCCCCACAAGCTTAAACAGTGCCCAGTACACAGCAGAGCTGGGATGAGATTCTCAGGTTTCAAAAGCCACAGACGACCCATTCCACAGCCTGGCTGGCGAGGCGGAGCCATCGTGTTAATGCAGAGAAACGTGGAAGAGCCTTTTCACAGTCCCAGGGCTGCAGGCCCCCTGGGTGTTTGGCTATGTGGAGGGGACCTGGGAAGGCACAGGGACTGCTCCTGGGGTGGCCTGCTTCTCCCCTCAGATCTTAGGCTCCTGCCCAATCAGAGCCAGCCAGTGCAAACTCTGTCCTGCTCTCACAGCCACCCCCACAGAGTCGTTGGCATGATGGGAGCTCTGGGGAAAGTGGGATAATCCCTGGGCCTCCCTCCCTCCCGCGAGGGGCTCCGTGGGGGCTCGGGCCTGGGGCCACTCACTGCTCACTGGACTGCATCAGTTCTATGAGGTCGGAGAAGAGGACATCCCTGTTGCGCTCACAGAAGCCATTGACGTCGTAGGATACCTGGAGGAAGGTGGCAAAGGGGGAGTGAGGCACAGATGGAGGGGCCGGGGCCGGGGCCCTGGGGGTCTGTTCTGGTGTGAGAGGACTGGGGGTTAACTGGGGTTGGGACTAGGGGGAGGGGACCACTCCATAACAGTCCCTGGGGTCTGACTTCAAGCTGAGGTTGGTGGGCGGAGGCTGCAGCCCGGGTGAGGGGAGGAGCAGAGACAGCTGCAGAGCAGATCTGGGGAGACTGTGGCCTGCCAGTCTGGGGTCTGCTACTTAATCTGGAGTCAGAAGGTCTGACTCAGTATTTCCGCCAGGGGCAATCAGAGCACTGGGGGGCTGGGAGAGTCACGGGGGGGGGGGGGCTGCAGCCAGGTTTGTGGGCTGCATCTGCCATCTGAGGTGGGGGCTGTCCAGAGTCCTGGCTGGGGGGTCTTCTGGGCTGAGGGAACATGGGGGCTCCAGTGCAATTTTGGGATTTGTGGGCTATATGGCAAAGCAGGGACCCCAAGGGTGTGACCCGTCCCAGCGAGGTGGGTGGAGAGTGTAGCCCCCTGCGAGCTGGAGGGGCTGAGGGGGCTCAGAGGCCTTGGACAGGGGCTTGCAGGGGTTCTGGCCCATTTCAGTCGGTGGTGGTTTGCAGTACCAGGCTGTGATCTTGGGGCTGCGTCACAGGACAGGGTGAGTCAGGCTCACAGCTCAGGTTGGGGTTTGGGCCAGCCTAATTTTGGAATAGAAGGAGTTTCTGTTCTATTAGGGGGAGCTGTGGCCTTGATCAGGGGCTGGTGGGTTTCCGCAGCCTCTGCTGAAGGAACATGGGGGGAGGCTAAAGGCAAGTGGGGAGGCCCCTGGTGGGGGGGTTTGCAGCCTCTGGTCCAGAGAGGGATGGGACAGGCCTGCAGCACCGGCTGAGGCGTCTGTGAGCTCCTTCCAGTTTGGGGGTTGGGAGGCTGTAGCAGGGAGGCCCTGGGGTCTGCGGGAGGTGCTTCTGGGGACCTAGGGGTAGGTACGCACCTTGCCAGCGTAGTGGTGGATGATGAAACCGGAGCTCCAGCTGTTGAAGTGCTCGTGGGTGCCCACAGCCGCCTGCAGCTTCTGCAGCAGCGTCTGGTCAGCCCCGCCGCCCGTGGCGTGCATGGTGGCGCACACGTCGTCCAGCACGCTCATGATGCCCGGGGGGTTCTGCAGGAGCAGGACAGGTGGGGGAGATGGCTTGATGCAACCCAGCCGTGCCCTATACCCCCCCACCTACTCCCCCAGAGCTGTCAAGAGGGCAGGGCGGTGGATGTTCCTAATACAAGATCAAAAGATGGTAGTGGTGGGGGGCTGCCATGGAAGCTCAGTTGGGTGCAGGATTGCGTGAGGGACCCCATAAATTCTTGCTTCTTTCCCTTTCCTAGACAGAGATCGCCCGGCGGGGGACGTGTCGGCATTGACTCTCCTGTCCCTGAGCAGCACTACCTGGGGAATGTTTGTTGAGTGAATAAATGAAAGGTGATCATTGGGGCAGCGTGAATGGATCGGGCTGACCGGATACTTCCGTTGTGCTCCATCTGGCCAGGTGGGAGCATGAGGGTAGCGAAGGGCCAGTGGGGGCTCTGGCCTGCTCCAGGCCCAGGGAAGCCCCCTCCCCCCTGCCCCAGCGCCGGTCTGGCCCTTACCAGCTTGTTTTCTATGAGATCACAGACAATTTTGTTGTTGAAGAACTGGATGGGGGTCCAGCGGATGCCTTCCTGCACGTACTCCTCCTGGGGGAGGGAGGGGCAGGGGTGGACACAGGTGTCCGGGCAAAGGCATGTGAGCTTCCAGAATGCACACTCCGCAGGGCGGGGGCAAGAGGGAGGGCTGCGTCCCCGCTCTATCCGCTGCCCTGCTCCTGTCCCAGCGCATCACTTAGGAGGTAACAGAACCCATCCCCTGTGGGGGGCAGCCTGGAAGTGCGGGGTAGGGGGGCAGCCTGGAAGTGCAACTCCCAGAGTCCAGGAGTCCACACTACAGAGAGGGGGGAGCTGGCGGGTGAGTACCCCAGGCCCTCACTCCTCCTTGGTGGGTCACCTCCAAAGTTTGCTCTCTGAGGTTCCCCCAGGGCCTAGTAGAATTGGGCCCAAGTTAGCCACAGTGTAACCTGCTCCTCCCACGCCCTATTCCTGCTCTTCTTAGATCCCTCACTTCTCCATTCCTCTCCTGATATTTGGCCTGAATTCTTCCCTCAGGCTTTTGCTGGAGGGGCTGGAAAAACTCAGCAGGGAGCTGTGTCCATCTGTTCACAGCTGTGTCCTTAGCTTTGCAAACAGTGCCTGGCAGCAGCAGGTGCTCAATAAATAGCCGTTGAATGAACGAACAAGGCGGCTACGTCCCGTCCTGGTCCACGCTGCAGAGGCAGCTAAGCTCTTTGGAAGGCGCTCCCCCGGGGGGCCCGAAGACGCCACAGAGAGAGGTGTGCACAGACGGGCTGGGGCGACCCTGGCTGCTCAGCCACCCCCACGGTCCTGCTGCCCCCGCGCCCAGGTTGCCCTGCCTGTGGCCCGAGGCTGCCCCTGCCCACCTGCTCTGCTTTCAGGGTGAGTTCGATAAAGATCTGCTGCAGCTTCTCGTTGACAAAGTTGATGCAGAACTGCTCAAAGCCGTTTTTCTGCCGAGGGAGGGAGAGGGAGCGTTCACGGGGGCTGCGCTGGGCCACCCCAGGGGCACAGAGAGGACAGGGTGTGGGCTGGGGCAGGGGCTGTACCTGGAAGATCTCAAAGCCATAGATGTCAAGAACCCCGATACTGTATTCATCCTGGGGCTTCTGCATGGCGCGGTTGATGGCCTGCGAGGCAGGTGGGGGCGCGAGGTGAGGACCGACCCGCCATGGGCCTCTCACGCACCCAGCCACCGTGGCAGCGTCTGTGCCCTCGCACCAGCTTCTCTCCTCCCCTCCCAGCTCCGGGCCGCCCTCCCAATCAGCTGCACCTATGGGAAACCCGGGTGTTCCAGCATCTAGGTTCCTGCCCTTTGACCATACGGAAGCGCCCCTGCGCCTCTGTTTTCTCATCTTTAAAATGGGCTAATAATAGCAACTACCTTATAGGGACGTCTCTAATGAAATAAGGCCCCCGCTGAATGCCTCCCACTACCGGGAACTGGTGAGGATACGAGAGTCAAGTCGGACCCCCCGTGGCTGTGCCCAGGCTGGGAACTGGTGTGGCCCAGGGGACGCCGAGCCGCTCCCCAGCCCCGGGCCACTCACCTCCACCAGGAAGTCAAATAGACGGGCATAGAGGCCCTTGGCCAGGGCATCCCGGGTGTAGGCCGCCTGCTCCACATTGAGGGTCACGTCGATGGACTCGCTGCGGCCGCCCCAGCGGCTGTCCATCTTGCGGCTGGTCAGCTTCTCCTGCAGCCGCCCGCTGTCAATGCCCAGCAGGTAGGCGGGAAACGCCAGCACTGCGGTGGGAGAGAAGGGGGCGGTGGGTTGGGCTGTCGGGCCTTGGGGGGCGCTTCCCCTCTCTCCATCTGTCATCAGGGGTTGGCGCCTCGGGCTCCAACGAGGGGGGCCGCCCACACGGCCCCCAGCGCACACTCACGGTCCGCATTCTCCACCCGGGCGTAGTTCCCGTCTTCGCGGAAGCTGATGTTTCCCAAGTGCAAGATCCCTGCCACGAGCTGCAGGACCAGCTGCTGGACGTTGGGCGGGATCCCGATGACCTGCATGGCGCTCTGCGGGTGCAGGGGAGTCAGAGCTGCGCCCGAGTCCCTGCCGGGCCACAGCACAGAGGCCGGCAGCCAGGCCGCCCGGCTCCATGGCGTGGCTCTTCCACCTGCTCGCCGCCTGACCCTGGCCAAGCGCCGGCATCTCTCTGATGTGTGCTGTGAGAGGGTCCCCGGGCTGGCAGGGGCTGGAGTGGCGGTGCTCACCAGTGTCTCCTGGAAGTCGCTCCTGTCGTCAGTGCCGTCTACCTTGTAGGTGTCCGACTGGTTGAGGTAGTAATAGTAGTCGGGGGTCATGAGCCCCAGGTTCTGCCGCTGCTCCTGCGATGCCCCTTCTAGCAGCTGGAGGGGAGCGACGCTCGTGCGTCTGGTGCTGGGATGGCCTAGCCCTCGACACCGGCCCTCCCACTCTCCCCCGTGGGCTCCAGGAGGCGGTCCCCCCGCCCCATGCCCAGGCCGCCCCGTCCTTGAACCTGGTAATAGATGTGGAAGTTCCTCTCGTTTTCGTTCTGCATGACCACGCGCGATTTCTCCAACAAGAAGTTGGAGATCTTGCCCCCATCTGGCTCCCCACCGCGGCTGAACTGGATCTCAAAGTACTTGCCCTAAACAGGGAGAGTCCCGTCAGCTCCCCTAGGTCCCCTGGGCAAAGACTGGGGGTGGGTCTTAGGAATCTGGCTTCTTTTTCCCCAAGTGACCCATTTGCTTTTCTCTCCCCACAACCCCCTACTGGCTTGTCCTTTGCTTAAACCTGGTTTCCGCCGTCCCTCCTGACTCCAGTCCCGGGGTATCCATCCCATTTCATCGACCAGTTGCCCGGGGTTTCCACTACGGCAGAGGCCTCCACGTGTCTGGCCCGTACTGGTTCCAGCGTCCCTGGACGCCATCCCTGAGGCGGAGCAAGGGCTCCACAGGCCCCGTCTTTGCTCTCTGACACCATCTGGGCTCTGCTCCGGCCAGAGGTTAGAGGGCAGCCCAGCCCCCTTCCTTCTCTCTGCCACCTCCACCCAATAACAACGCAAGCGCAGCACACGGCCAAGCACCTGTCATGTAGGACACGGCTTGTTCTGTTGTACAATAGCATCGTATGAAATTAAAGGTCACGGTATGTTTCCAGGGTCATCCATGTTTTTGTGTTTGTCAGTAGTTTGCAAATAAATACTGTGTAATTCCGCTTATATGAAGTCCTAGGACAGCAGAAACGAATCTGGAGTGAAAAAGGCCAGAGGTGTGGCAGCTTCTGGGTAGGGTGGGGACAGAACTTGAATAGGAAGGGGTGAGGGAACTCTCTGGAGTGAGGGCGAGGGATGGTTGTATCTGCTGACAGGGTGTGGGCTACCAGGCGTGTGTCCAAAAGCGGCAAATGCTCTTCTTCAGGGTTATGTGCTTCGTGGTGTGCAAGCTGCTCTGTCAAAGAGCTAGACAAGACCTGCAATTTCTATTGGACTATAATTAATGATCTTCTTGGTGAAGTATTTGGAGGGAAAGGTCTGGTGCCTGCAGCTTACTGTGCAGGATATCAGAAGAAAAAATGGATGGATGGACAGACGGACGGATGGATGGACGGACAGTAAAGCAAGTATATAGAAAAATGTTGTGGTACATGGAGACAGGTGCTCACACTCATAGTCTTCCAATTTTTCTGTGCATTTGAAAGTTTTTGTAACAACCTGCTGGGGAATACTTAAAATATTATTATATAAAAAAATAAAAATATAATTTATAATATCTAGGGAAGAAATCTTATGGACACACAGATTGTATCAGGCCGCGGCCACACACAGGCCCATCGTGGGGGTCCGGGAGAGGGGTGTTAAAATCATCCCCCTTTGTGGATGAGAAAACAGAGGCATCTCAGGAGCTGACGTGGTTTTGTCTAAGCCACGCACCCATGTAGTCACAGAAGCAGCCCACAAATCCAGAGCTGCTTCCATTAGGCCCACCCAGCACAGCACTTGACTCAAAGGAGCGCAAGAGGTATTTGCTGAAAGGAAAAAGGAAGGAGTAAATTGTCTCTCACGTGACTAGGAACAGACTTAGCCTGGTGCAGCCGGGGGAGCACTTCAGAATGTCACCCAGCCGTGGGGGCGCTACGGTTCTGCCAGGGGGGACTAGTTTTCAGAGGGGCCACAAGCAAGAAGTGCATCTCCCATGTTGGAGCAGGGAGGTGTTTCTTGTTTTCTTGTCTGTGTGGTGTATGGGGTGTGCACGGTGTGTGTGTATGTGTGTCGGGGGGGGTGTCTGTGGGGGTGTTCATGTGTGGTATATGGGGTGTGTGTGGTGTAGGGGGTATGTGTGTATGTCTGGTGTGTGTATGTCTGGTGTGTGTGGTGGTGTGTGCAGTGTGTCTGGTGTGCCGTGTGTGCGGGCGCGCAGGCCAGGGCTGGCGGGCCAAGGACACTCACGAAGCGGCTGGAGTTGTTGTTGCGCACGGTCTTGGCGTTTCCGAAGGCCTCCAGCAGCGGGTTGGACTGCAGGATGACGTCCTTCACGTTCTGGGGCAGAGGCGGGTGGCGGGTGGCGGGAAGCGGTCAGGCTGAGGTGGGGGCCTGGCCCTGCTGTGGGGGAGATCCAGCCCGTCCCGTTCTTGCCTCACCTGGACCTTCTCGCCCCCTCCGGACACCTTGGAGATGTAGCCCATGATGTATTTGGCGGCCACCGTCTTCCCTGCCCCGCTCTCTCCACTGTGGGGGGATCAGCGGTCAGGGTGGAGGAAGTGCCTCTCCCAGTGCCTGACCTCGGGCCACTGTGTGTGGGGCACCTGCGGGCCAGGCACGGCAGGCACTGGGGACACAACAGCAAACATGGCAGATAAGACTCCGCCCCCCACCCCCATTTGCAAGGGACGTGAGGACAAAACAGGATGAAAGGAGCAGATGGTGACAAGGGCAGTGGACAAGGCGGGCGGGGCGGAGCGGAATGGCAGGGCTGCGTTTGGGGCCAGACTTCTGAGCAGACCTCCCTAGAGGAGGCGGTGCTGGAGAGGGCCCGGGCAGGGCTGCCGGGCCCACCTCACCTGATGATGACGCACTGGTTCTCACAGTCGATGAGCATGTTCCGGTACATGTTATCCGTGAGGGCGTAGATGTGGGGGGGGTTCTCGTATTGGGCCTGGTGGGGAGGTGGGGTTTCAGTCTGGGGCCAGGGGCTGGGGGTCCTGGGGTGGCCTCCCTGTTTCGCCCGGCCTCACCGCGCCCTGGTAGAGGTCGATCTCACGGTCAGTGAAGTAGGGCATCTGCTTGAAGGGGTTTACGGAGATGAGCACAGAGCCGATGTAGGTCTGCGGGCGGTTGTTAAGGGCCAAGTGGTGTCTTGCTTGGCTTTGTCCCTCAAAGGCCCCAGCCCCCTTATCTTGCTCCCCAGGGAACCTCTTAGAGCCCCACAAAGAGGTGGATGCTCAGATGTGACCACGGTCTTAATAAGAGGGGACAATGGGACATTCTGTGGCTGACCTACCCCAGGGCAGAGGGCGCCGGGCTGCAGCCTCCCCAACCGGCCTCCTGTCGCCCTGCTGTTCCCCTGACCTGACCTACTTCTGGGCGCCCGTCCCTCCCCCATCCCTCTGCCCCTTCCTTGTGCAGCCCTCGCCTCCGCCCGCTAGCGGGTACGAAGATGTAGTCGTCCATGAAGCGCTTGCGGAGGTTGCTCACGATGGCGTCCTCGGTGATCTGCGGCAGCAGCACCATGTCGTCCACGCCGCTCTGCTTCACGTTGTGGCTCTGCCAGTGGAAGCGCTCCTTGCTGCCCTGGGGAGTGGACAGGGGGTGTGAGCCCCCAGGAGACAGCGGCCCGCAGCCTCGCACCCCCACCCGCTCACCATCCTCGCCAGCTGCTGATTGCGCCCCTCAGCCATCTTCACCCTCCGTCCTCATCTCGGGGCACCAGGGGAGGCCGGGAAGGTGAAATCCAAGCTCTGTGGCCCCAGGGAGGGGGCCAGACCCTCACCCTCTACTTGAGTCTCCCATTCCTCCATCAGGTGTCCCTGCCATGGGGGCCCCGATGCCAGCCCCAGCGTGTGCTTGGGCTCAGGGGGAGGGGAGGGCACCAGGGCAGGCTTGACGGAGCACCCACTTGCTCTGCCCCACTTTGCTCTCAGGCTCCCTGGTCCCCACTCCTGACCCCTCTCCTGCCCCCACGTGGCAACAGTCCCGGCCTCTGCAGCATCTGACCCCCGTCCACCCCTCCACCTGCAGACGGCCTCCGTGCTCCACTCCCTTCCTCCTCTCTCGGGCCGCGCAGCCCCGCGACCCTGAGAAGCTCTTAGTCACCGTGTGGCTGTGGCCTTGCTCCCCACCCCGCAGCCTCGCCCACCTGCCACAGTCAGAGCCTTCTCTGTGCCCCTTGCCAGTTCCAGCACCTTCCAAGGCTCCCACCAGCCCTTCTCATTTCCTTTCTCGTAAGATGTCACCTCCCTGAGTGCCCCCAAAGGAGACTCAGACACAGGATTGCCCCCAAAGCCCTTTGGCTTCCCCAAAGCTCCAGGATATTTTCTCCTATTAGCCCAACTGAAAGCATCCAGTGCCTTTCACGAACATGGCTCTCCCAGCCCCCGTGTGCCCCACACCTCACTGTAGGAGGGTGGGCAGGCAGGGGGGACAGCTGCCCGGGCTCTCTGGTCTGGCGCTCTCTGGCTCACACAAGCCGGCCCTCCCCGAGGAGGCCCCTTAGCATCCTTTCTCCGCCTTAGCAGGAAGGGCCCGACCAGTGAGCAAGAGACGAATGCAAAGAGGCCCCCCAGCTTCAGAGGAAACCCTAGAGCAAGGATTCTAGAAATTGAAGCTGAGTCTTCAAAGAGGACCAGTGTCTGCCAGGCGGGTGCCAGGGCTTGGAGATGGGCCCGCTGGGCAGGAGAGAGTCAGGCAGGGGTCATGGCAGCAGGGCCAGAGCAGGCAGCTGCACTTCCTGAGCAGACGAGGTCAGAGGCAGAGCAGAGACGCCGCCTGGCTCCCCAGGGCTGAGGTGACTCCGTGCGTGTGCGTGGGCGGGCGACAGAAAGGAGGTGGCTGGTGCTCGTCCTTGGCTGAGGGTTACAAGGACGCACTTGGGTAGGGGGACGATGGCCAGAGTGGACGTTTACCAAGGCCCCACATGGGCCCGACGATGGCTGCGAGGCACCGTATCGCCAGTCCTCACGGCACCTCAGTGGAGTGTAAGTTAGCGGGGAAACTGAGGCTCAAGAGGGGCAGCCACTTGACAGTTGGCGAGGGACACAGCCAGGTGGTTTCCAAAGTGTGGGATGTGGGACTGGGTCCATCTGACAGCAAACAGCGGGCCCTTAACGCTCCACACAGGGGTGCCTGGGGCTGGGGGTGCTTGGGGTGCACTGGAAAACCAGCAAGCGTTTGGATGAAAAGAGAGGGGACTGCCTGGGCAAAGGGGCAGAGGTGCGGCATGTGGGAAGAGCAAGCGGTGGGGAGAATGTGGGGAGCTAGGGCTTGAACCCCTCAAATAATGAGTCTGGTCTCATCTCTGACAGCATGTTTGCATTTCCCCACCATTCCACAGAGACGCCTCACGCCCCCGGGTGTCCATGCTGCAGAGCTTCAGAGGCTTCCTGCTGTTCACCACCAGTGTTCTGGAATATCCCACCTTAGCCTCCTCTCCCCAGGCTCCAGCCCCCAGGGCAGGGGCTCCCCTGGCTGAACAAGGCATGAATGAGTGCAGGAAAGAGGAAATGTGTGAGTGAAGGCGTGGGGGGCAGTGCCCAGGGGTCTGACTGTCAGTGGCTCGCAGAGCCTGCGGGCGGCGGCGCCTGCCCTTGGGGACACTGCCCGGAAGCGCTGTGCTTCGGGTTGTCATAGGGATGGGACGCAGCAGGCATTTCAGGGCCCGCCAGCCCCCACTCCATCCCCGCTGGTGCTCAAGGAGCCGGCTCATAATCACCGGCACAGAGAACCAGGTTCTACTTTATGCACAAAGGAAAATCTATGGGGCCTCCCTGGTTGTGCAAGGGGTTAAGTCTCAGCACTGCGAAGCTGTCCGCAGCCTCTGCAGCACGAATTGGATCCCCAGCCGGCCAGGGAGCTGACCCACAGGGCGCAGCAGACCTCTCCTGTTGCGCCTGCAGCTCCCCTCAGCAGTGGATTTCACTGGATTTGTTTGTTCTTCTCCCCATTCTGTCTCTGGTGAATCCTTTCACCCAACCCCCCTGCACTTTTGGCCTACACCCCAGCTCTTGTATGCATAAATAAATCTTTTAAAAATTTAAATTTTTTTTTATTTTTTAAAGATTTATTTTTTTTTATACAAGAACCGGGGTACACGCCAGATGCATGGGAAGGTGAAAGGATTCACCAGAGACAGAGCGGGGAACAGAACAGGCAGAATAAAAAAATACACTGCTGAGGGGAGCAGCGGGCGAGACAGGAGAGGTCTGCTCGCCATGTGGGATTCTCACTGGCCGGCTGGGATCAAACCCGTGCTGCAGAGGCTGCGGACAGCTTCCCAGTGCGGCGCTCAACTGCCTGCACCAACAGGGAGGCCCTTAATTTTTTTTTAAAGATTTATTTATTTATACAAGACCTGGGGTACAAGCCAGGCACGGGAGGGTGAGAGGATTCACCAGGGACAGAGCGGGGAACAGAACAGGCAGACTGACGAAATACACTGCTGAGGGGAGCAGCAGCCGAGACAGGAGAGGTCTGCCACGCCACGTGGGTATCTCTGCGGCTAGTCGGGATCAAACCCACGCTGCAGAGGCTGTGGACAGCTTCACAGCGCTGCGCTCAACCGCCTGCACCACCAGGGAGGCCCCAATTTTTTTTTTTAAAGGGAAAATCTGTGCCCTTTGGCATCACTGATACACGTTGTGTTTTCCGGCTGTATCAGGGAGATTTTTGTTTTATTTTGATTTGACTAAGAGCTCTTTAGCGTTTTGGAGCTTGCACTGCTCTTGCTGTTAAATGACTAGGCACCTACTTGGCATAGCCTTCCTGTGGGGGGTGGTGTTGAGCTCACGGGGACGTGCCTGCATGTGTGTGGTGTGTGCATGCATGTGTGCACACATGTGGCATGTGTGGTCAGGCGAGCCACCTGGAGGCCTGGGCTTCTGTGGGCTGCTGGCCTGAGCCCACCATCTTCAAGCACACATCAGAGTGTGAGCATCATTTCAGCGTATTAAGGGTCCTGCTAGATGTTTGTTACAAGAAGGGGATGCTGGGGTGACACACTCGGATACCTGGGGTGCAGCAGGGAGGGCGGGAGGGTTGTGGGAAGAGAACAAGGTGGGCTGGAGAGACAGCCGGCTTAGCTCAGAGGCTGGAGGAAGCCTGGACCTGGGCCGCAGGTGGGAAGGGCTAGGTGGGGTGCGGAGCCTGGACAGAAACCCGAGCTACAAGGGGGGGCGCCTGAGCTTGGCAGCCCCATGGCCCACGGACAGTGCTGGGACGCAGGCGCAGAAGGCAGGCTGGACGGTCAGGAGGCAGGGACTGGTCATGAGCAGGCCTCTCGGGCTGTCTAGTCAGGAAGGGGAAGAGAGAGAGAGGCTGAGTGGAGAAGTGGGGGCCGTGTTTCCTGTTTTCAAGACAGGGAACCAAGTGTAGTGATGAGAAGAGACACTGAAACTCGGGAGTGAAGTGGCATCACAAGTGGGCCCCCAGGGGCCCCCAGCGGCCGGGGTGGGGTGGCGTGGGGTGGGGGTGTGCTCTTCCTGAGCCGGGTGGGGGTGGGGGTGGACAGGAAGTGGATTCTTCCTCTGAAGAGCTGGAGGGCTGCAGCCTTGGAAGGCAGGGATGGCAGCTGGCAGCAGGGACAGCAGCTAAGGCCATGGGCACGCACTCCGCCAGCCTCCGGTCTCGGCTCTGCCTGGGAACCACCTTATTCAGTCCTCTCAGCACTGGTTGAGGTTTGTGCCGCGATTAGTCTCACTTCGAGAATCCTGTGGCACAGAGAGGTTAGGTGTCCTTCCCAAGGCCACACAGCAGGGAGGGAGGGTCCAGGGAGGACTCCGGCGCTAGGTCATCTGCAGAGGAGCGGGCGCAAGACTGGTCTGTGCAGGGCTTGCACTGGCACTGACCAGGCTCCGCGCTCCGGGCTCCTCAGGCTGAGCTGAGACTTGAGGCCTCTTCCTCTGAGGGTGAGAGGCCCCAAAGTGGCTGTATCTGGCCGACTCTCCTGACCCCGAGGACTCAGTTCCTCTTCCTGTGCCTCATCCACTTCCCCTTCCAGCTGAGTCGCCTCTGCCTCTCTCGTCTCTGTCCCACCTCAGGCCCCCAGGCCCCAGACCCACTCCCAGCTTTGGGGTCACCGAAACGTGGGCTGCCTGACGACAAGGGAGAGAGGGTTTAACTCCAGTGGGTGCGGCGTGAGGGAGGACAGTCAAGAATTTTGGGCTGGGGGTGTGTGTCGGGCGTGGCTTGGTTGTTGACTGACTCTACAATCCTGGGGAAGCTTTAGTTTCCCCAACTGCCAAATGAATTCCATAGGCATTTCCTCCAAGGGCTCACTGACAGGGGTAAATGAGCCAGCCCCGAGCAGAGACGCGCTGGGCGGCCCCGGGGAATGGCAGCCTGAGAGTAGCAGTGGAGTGGGTCAACATGCGCTTGTTGAATGGACACATCCGCTTGGGATGAGGCGGCTCACTGCTCTGTGTCATGAGTATCCCTCTCTGTGGCCCCCCATTCTCCATAGATCAAGTTGAAACTGTTTGTTCCTAAGTCCCTTCCTTTTGGGTGAGGGTGCACCAAAGAGTTTGTGGTGTCATGGGACCACAGCCGGGTATGACTCAACCTACCCCGCTCTTGTGAAAGGCAGTGCTCAGCGCAGGGGGCAGGTAGCTCCTGACTTCAGCTCTTCAAAGAGGCTCCCCTGACCTGAGGCACAGGGCGTGGAGGGTGGGGCTTCCCTGGTGCTGGAGGCAGAAGGGGCTAGAAGGGGCTGTTCGCCACCAAGGTGATGACTCCTGTGGGGCTAAGCTTTGGAGCCCTGAAGTCAAAACACTGCGCCCCTACTGAGCACGGCAGGAGATGGAGCCCAGACCCAGAACCTACTCTTGGGGAGTTCCGTGCACCCTGAGTGGGTGAAGTGAGTTGTCCAAGGGAGATTGTGGGCCAGCAAAGACACTGCTGAGAAGCGGTACGGTAATCAGTGAGGGCTTCCTGTAGGAGGCAGGCCTTGAACTTCTCAGACAGAGGCCATAGAGCCATGGGTCAGGAAGCCCTTGGGTGCGCAAGGGACACCAGGATTCTAGTTTCTTTGGAACTGAGAGCCCAGGTCCAAATGAGGCAGGAGGAATGGGTAGCCTGGGGTACGTGGGTGGCCCCCCACCCTGTAGGAGGAGAGGGAAGTTAGAGATCAAGGTAGATGTTGAAAGAGTGACCTTAGGAGTTAGTGAGTTGAGATCCTCTGCCACTCTGGGGATGTGCAGCTCACTCCATCTCCCGCCTCAGTTTCGGCTTCTAGAACATGGGAGTACCGAGGGTGGCAGCCCCACGGACAGGCCAGCGGTGCACACGGAGTGCAGGGCCAGGAGGAAGCGCCGGGTGAGGGAATTTTTGCAATTTGCCAATAGCTCTGGCTCCCTGCTCCTGGCTGCGGCTAGCAGAGCCCGAGACTGGCGAGAGCAGCGAAACAGCCACTTCCTTCCTCGCCCGGTCCTGTGGTTGCCAGCTTGGAGGAAAGCGGAGCTGCTGCTGCAGCGACCCCCCACCCCGGGCCCCCTGGGCCTGCCCTGCCTGCCCCCTGGTGTGCCCCTGGAGCCTGTGTCCTGCCCTTCCCACTCAAAGAGGTTGCTGGGGCTACACCCTGCACCCCTAGCCTGTGAAGACAAAAATTGTCAATGCACGGCTCCCTGCAACTCCCGCTTCATTAAGGGTGGGGCGCTCGGTTGCCTTTTGCTGTGTCAAGTCCTGCTCGTCTGTTTAGTCACTGGGTGCTGTCGGTCCTCCCTCCTGCGCCCCAGGCAGGGCCGCGCTGGGGAGCAGTGGCCCTGGCTGCCGCGGAGCCTGCCCAAGCCTGTGACTTTGCCCTTCTCCGCTCGTTGGGCCCCCTGAAGCCCGGAGAAGACTGTCCGTGCCCGACACCTTGTTCTTCTCTGGCCCCCACTCCCAGCCAGCTGCGGGCCTCGCGGCGTCTCCCTCTGGCCTTGTCCGCGCCAGCCTCTCCTGTCCCCTCCGTGGCTGCTGCCTGAGCCCAGGGGCCACATCACGTTCTCCCCGCTTCATGTTGAGCTTTCAAAACACCATCACCCACGGAGAACGACCAGCTGCTGCCTTCACCCTTACACCCCCCCGAGGCCAACAGAAACTGCTGCTGCCCCAGTGCCCGCAGCGCAGGCCAATGTCCAACAGAAAGAGCCATCGCCACCCCCTCCACCTCGCCCGGCCCCAGCCGCAGCGGCCGTCGCAACCCGCCTCCCTCGACAGCCACGCCACACCGTGACGCCACCAACAGCCACGCACACCCAGTCGCCACTGACGCCACCCCCCACGACCCCTTTCAGCAGACACTGCACGCCCGCTGTTCCTGGGCACCAGCGCCAAGCCCTCCAAGGAAGGGCCCGGAGCAGGCGAACACCGCCGGGGCCGCCCGCCCGCGCGGGCCACGCTTCAGCTGACGCTCCAGCCACCCGCCGCCAAGGGGCACCGCCGCCAGCTCACCCCGGGGCCACCCTCGTGACCAGGGGCGCCAGCAGCCCAGCGACCACTCAGCGGCGACCCCTCTGCAGCCACCACGGCTGTCACCCCAGCCATCACCCGCGGGGGCGGCTGTTCTGAGAGTGCCTTGGGCTCTGCTGGCCCCCAGCCCTCCTGACGCCCGGCTCCCCCGGGGGGTGTCAGCACCCCGAGACAAAGTGTTGGCCTCCCGGAGGGCCGCCTCTCGCATCTTCCTCTGTGCTCCCGGTGGGAGTCTCTCCCTTTCCCCAGAGGCCGGGTGCCGCCGGCCCCCCCGACGCCGGCCGGCATGTCACGGAGCCGCCCGGGGAGGGGCTGCTTCTCCGCAGTGGCAGGACGCCTCCTGTGTGCTCGGCCCATCGGAGCCCCGAGTCCCCCTGGCTCGGCTCCGTGGCGGGGCTCCCCCAGCCCACACCCGGAGCCCCGTGGGATGGTGAGACTGTGCATCACCGGCGGGGCCCGCGGCCACAGGCACTCAATTTGGCGTGAGCTTTCTAGAAAAAGAGCCCTTCTCCCTCGGCGGGACACACGCCCGCCTCCTGCTTCGCGCACCTGCCTCCACCCTGGTCAGCGGCCGCGGCCCCGGCCCGGCCCAGCGGTTGTCCCTGCCCCCGCCACACGCGCTCATTGATAGAGGAAAAACGAAAGCTTGCAGACCGCGGCGCTGAGGCCACGGGCGCCCCCTTAATGTGCGTGCTGCGATGCTGCCAGGTTGAGGCTCCCGGGCGGTGACAGCTCCCCAGGCCTGTCACCAGCCCCAGCCCCCAGCACGGCGGTCGGGACGCCTCTGGGGCCTGGCCTGGAAGGGGCCACGGTGGCGGGCAGGCGTCTGTGGTGGTCACGGCCAGACCGCCCGTCCCTGGCACAGGCACACTGTCCCCCCACTCGACGCAGCCCCCTCTGCGGGGGCCCAGGGCGGCCAGGACCCTCTTGGAAATCCCAAGTCCAGTAAGTCCCGGAAGAGCAGGCTCTCTCCTGACCAGCTTCCAGATGTGACAGTTGTGGGAACTGAGGTCGCGACAGGGGAAGTGACTTAGCCAAGGCCACACGGGAGGATGAGGACCAAGCTTGACTGGAACCCGGGTCCCCTGAGCCCCAGGAAGGGGGGGTGCTCATGTCACCACAGAAAGTGACTCCTCAGGGCGCCTGCTCCATCCTGGCGCCCCCACCTGGCATCCTATCCCCGCCCAGTGGGAGTTTGGTTCAGCTCCTGGTGGAGACACCTGGGGCACCTGCGCAGCACCCAGGGACCCTCAGAGGCTCCGCCGTGCCCCTCCCCCGTGCCCCACTTCCTGATGGTGGGCTCAGGGCGGCGTCTCCTGGCTGCTGCTCCCCGTCCCTGCCCCTCAGAGCCCACCGGGGGAGGACTTACCATGGTGGGGGCTGTCGCCTGGACCCTAGAGGGTCCAAATGGGTCGTGGTGGAGTTGCAGGCTCACGGGGCTCTGGGGGGCGGCTTGGACATGGCCCGCTCGACTCGCACTGGACTCCCAGCCCTGTAGTTCCTCTTGCAATAGCCCCTCTCACTTCCTTTGCGGGAGGGGCTGTTTGCTACTGGGTGGGGAGAGAAGCCGGCCGGGGGCGGAGAGAGCCTCCAGCAGCTGGGACTCCCCGTAGCCCGCGGCTCGGGGCCGAGCCTAGCGAGAGTCCAGGGGTGGACGGGGCCGCTTGTCCCCGGGGCCTCCTCTCCATGCCCCGGGAGGGGCTGCGGCCTACGCAGGAGGTCAGATGTTGGGGGCGGGCGTCCCCTTCCGGGCAGCCCTGGGACGCTCCGGCGGGAGGCAGGTGTCTTGCAAGCGCTCTGGGCACCCCGGTCCTCCGCGGCTGCCCTGCTGGTCCTTCCTCCTGAGCCGCCCTGGGGCTGTGTGCGCGGCAGGGGCAGCGGCATGTCAGAGGGTGCCCGGAGCCACGTGCACCTGGGGGCTCCCGGACACTGGAGACAGGTGTGGATGTAACAGCCTCGCCTCTGCCACCTCTGGGGTCTCCCCATTTTCAATGGGGCCACGGGCCCTCCCATGAACACCCAGAATCCAGTGTCAGCCTGTGCCCCCACACTTGGGAGACCAGGGGGCCGCGTGCTAGTGGCCCTACAATTGAGTAAATGCCAATTCCGGGGTTGCCACACCCCACCCCACCCCACCCCACCCCACCCCACCCCACCCCACCACCCCCCCGTGAGGAACTTCAGGAAAGGGGCGGGAGGGTGTGTCCTGCCATGCCCCAAGTCCAGGCCCAGCACAGGCTCTTCTGTGGGCGGCGCCCCTAGCGGCCACATCGGGACTGGCTCGCTTCTCCCCGAAATTCCTGCTCAGGTTTGCTCCGCTGAGGGGCTGGCGGCAAACCTCCATCTCACAGGCCGAGTGAGTGCCGAGCAGGACGGCCTCCCCTCCACCCCGCCGGGGGCAGGCATCAGGGGAGGCTTCTGGGAGGAGGTGATTTCATGCTGAGACCGAAGGCTGAGTTGGGGTGAACCAGGTGAAGCGGGGTGGGGAGGGGACACCCGGCCGAAGAAACAGCTCTTAGCAAAGGCACCGACATGGGAAAAGGTGGGAGACTGGGTGACTTCCAGGGATGCGGGTGCTGGAGCGGGCGGCCCGGAGTGGCGGCCAAGGTGGCAGGCACCGGGACCTGCGACTTTGAAGACCTCCGCGAGCTGTTTTTGTCCCCGAATCACTGGGCCCTCGCCTGCGGGGGCAGCCCCCGCCCCTCCACCCCCGGCCGCTGACATGACCGTGAGGGCCGTGGCCACTTCCCGTCTGAGGCCTCTGCTGAGCGGCCCCGGCCGCAGCGACAGCCGCACGCGGGATCTACACAAGATGACTTTATTGATGCAGGGCTTCCTGGCGAGCGGGGGCCCAGGCAGCGCCTGTAGCACCATGGTGGGGGCAGCCTGGACGGGGGGGTCCCTGGGGCCGGCAGGGTGGAGGCCGGGGTAGTTCTTCCCATCTCTGCCCCGCTCCTGCAGCACTCCGGGCGGGCGGGGCGCCTCAGCGAGGTGTGCAGGCCTCTTTTTCCAAGGCAGCCGCAGGCCCCGCACCCCCAGCTCAGAGGAGAGAGACAGGGCAGTGCTGGGGTGACAGCACCGGCAGACCCCCTCCCCACCCCCACTTGTCACAGTACATATTCCAATCAAAGGGGGTGGGCGTGCTGGAGGCTCCCGAGCGTGGGTGCAAGGGCGACAGGTGACCAGCTGTTCCCTCTTCCGAGCCCTCCGGGAAGGGGCTTCCCTCTGAACTGGCACAGGGGCCGAGCAGGTGCCCTGGGCGTCGCCAGCCCCTCTCTACCCCTCAGCCAGGGGTTCCCAATAAATAACTTCCAGCTCCGTCTCACCCTTCACGTTCAGGCCCCGTCACCCGGGGCTCCTTCAGGAGGGCGGCCCCTTCCCCAGCCTCCCCAGCCGGCGCCCCACTGCGGGGCCAGGTGCCGCGCCCCCTAGCGGCCCTGGCAGGTCTTGCAGCACATCTGGCGGAAGTAGGCTCGGCTGCAGAACTGGAACTTGAGCACCAGGGGACAGTAGGCGACCTTGTTCACATCCTTGCATTCTGGGGGGGCAAAGGGAAGGGAAAGCAGGTCTCAGCACTCTGTCCCCGCGGGGTGGGGCAGGGCGGGGCGGGGCGAGCGGCTGCCTGCACCGTGCTCCCTGGCTGCTCCCCGGCTGCCTCCCGGGATACGCTGTCACTGGGTTTCCTCTGCGAGAGAGGATGCAGGGTCTGCGACCTGGCCGCAGTATTAAATAGCCAATAGTCTCCCCTTTCAACGCATTTGCTCGGGTCCTGTTTAACAGGCTGGACCCGAAGCTGCAGCGCAGTCACTCGTGCTCGGCCTTTTCGGTGTGTTTGTGTAGGGGATGGACCGTGGTCCACGACAGCGGGTGGCCTGGCTCCCGTGTGGCGTCAGTGATGTACGGACGAGGCCTGGTGCTAACCAGGGACCCACATGCATGATCTTACTGCGTTTCCCTAGTGCGCACCCCTTCAAGTGAGATACCACGTGCACTCCTTGCAGCTGAGCTACCAGAGGCACAGACGTGGACGGTGAATCCAGTGCCTAGAGAAGGGAATCTATTGCTCTGTGAAAATAAACTTAGGTAAGAAAATAAAATGGGGATATTTAAAGCAGTGGGTGTCAGGTGGATAGCTGTGGCCGAAGGGGACACCTCTCTCTGCCTGGAGACATGTCAGGTGTCACCACTATAAGGGGGAGGCTACTGGCATCTGGCAGGGGAGCTCAGGGATGTGGCTGGACGTCCCAGGAGGTAGCCCTTGGGCCGAGGGGCCACAGGAGCAAAGCACTGCCAGTGCCTGAGACGGAGAGCCTGATTTAAAGGAAGACGACCAGCGGCTGCTACTACAAGCGGCAAGAAATAGAGTGCAGGCCGCAGAGGGGGTGAGGGTGAAAGTCTGGGCTCACAGAAGGACCCAGTGCCTAAAATGCCAGCCAGGGAGGGTGTGGCGGAGCCCCGAGAAAGGCACTGAGCTGCCTGTGAAGCTCTGGGGCCAGCAGTCCGGACCCCGCGCTCTCCGCGTATCCCCGGCCAGGGACCTCTTGGGGCCTCTGCTCTCCTAGGCCACCTACCTTCGGGGCCGTCCCCGGCGGGCGGGCTGTCACACTTGGCCTCGCACTGCTGCGTGGTGGGCGGCTGCGGCGTCTCAGTGCACTCCCGGGACGGCTGGCCGGTGTGGCTGGTGCAGCGCACGGTGCGCTGTTGCTGCCCCACACCGCACTGGGTGGAGCACTGTGGGGAGGCGTCGCTGAGCCCCGCCCCCCCACGTCCCCCCACCCTACCAGCCCCCAGGGCGCCCCGCCTACCTCACCCCACTCGCCAGCCACCCAGCGGGCTGGGGGGCAGCGGCGCAGGTTGCAGCGCATGGTGGCCGGCGGTTTGGCCGCCGGGGGACAGTGTGCGTGCGGCAGCGTGGCGCGGTGGTCCGCACTCTTGCAGAGGACGACACGGTGGCGGAGGCCCGGCCCGCAGCTGGGGGTGCACTGTAGTTGGAGGGGGTGTTTCATGCTCAGTGGGGGCGCACACAGGGACTGGGGACGGTGCTGGCCCGTAAGAGCTAGGGAGGGGACAGCTAACTTTGGACAAGCGAGGGCAGCCGGCTGGGGCAGCAGGAGGGCACTGTAGCTGCAGAGAGGTGTTCTGGCGCGCACCCCACATGGCACCCTGGTCCCGCCCGGCTCTGCACAGATGGCAGGTGGGAAGAGGGAGCTGACCTCCGACCAGTCAAGGGTGGCCCACTCTGGAGGGCAGGTGGGCCCGTGGCAGGCCTCCAGAACGGGTGGGCGCGGCTGCGGGCATGCGCTGTCATCCAGGGCCTTCTCCTCCGCCGCCGACACGCGGCGCTGGCACACCACTGAGCGGCTGCGCACGCCGGCGTCACAGCTCCGGCTGCAGCGCGACCAGTTCCCTACAACCCAGCTGTGGAGGCGTCGGGGTCTGAGACAGCAGGGCAGGGCACCCGGCCCCGAGCACTAGCATACCCCGAGCACTAGCTCCCCAACACCGGGCTCCTCCAGAAAGCACCCCAAACTCCCCCACTTGTATCCACCCTGGAGCCAGCAGGTTCACCAGCCCATGGGAGATGATTATCTGGACCTGACCACAGAGCACCATCTTTCGGGCTCCAGAAGAGCCTCAATCCCACTTTGGGGAGGACTGTCGCCCCCAAGCTGCAGGCACTAGCCCCTCTGATCTCAGGAGCGACGGTCACCTGTCCCCGGCGGGCACTCACTCGGGTGGGCAGGGCTCCGTGTTGCAGGCACGCTGCCTCTTGGGCAGCTTGCTGTGGGCGCTGCAGTGGTGGGGGGCCACGGCCGAGCTGTCCAGCTGGTTTCGGCACTCGACGGCCTGCACCTGGCTGCCTGGCGTGGGGGAGAGGCCGGCTCAGCGCCGCCTGGCCCAGCGTCCGGCTAGGTGACCGGCACCCGCTCCCCAGCCCCACCCGGGCCTCACCACCCGCACACTGGGCCGAGCACTTGGTCCAGAGTGCGTAGTGCCAGGAGTAGGGAGGCAGCGCATCCCGGGCGACGGGCGCGTTGAAGCGGTAGCGGAGGGCAGGCAGCTCTGTGTGGGCTAGCACCTGGGCGGGGGGCATCAGATGGAAGGTCGGCCGGCATCTCCAGTCGAGCCCGAGCCCCATGGGACCCTCGTGTCCTCCGATACCTTGCCCCCAGCCCCCCGTTACCATGACAACCAGAGACGCATTAATGGGGCCCAGGGCTTCTAGGCTCTGGGTCTGGTCTGGTCCTTGTCGCAGCTGAAAGGTGGTCCCAGCCAGGGGCAGGCGGTGGGGCTGGGGTGTCCCAGGCAGCCCCTCCAGCAGCAGAGATTCCTGGTCCCCCTTGAGGGCTGGGGGGACAGTGCTGGGGTCAGAAGCCAGCCCCACCGGCCCCAGTCCTCGCCCTCCCGGCCGCGCTCACCCAGGTGGCTGAGGGAGAGGTTCAGGTCCTGCAGGAAGATGTGGACGGAGCCCTTGGGGATCCAGACGACCTCCTCGTAGCCTGGGCGGTGAAGTCCGATGTCACGCATTTGCGCCAGCCCCCACGCCTGCCTGCCCCCCACCCGGGGCTCCTGCTGATGGCGGCTGACCACGCCCGTGCCCCCAGCCGGGGTGACAGATGGCAGTGCGGGGCTCAGATGCGACAGCTTGGAAGAGGGTGGCTGGGGTTTAAACCCAAGCCTTCCTGCCTCTGTACTACCCCAGTGGTCCGGGCTTGGCCAGAGACAGGCGCATCCGGAGGCCCCAGCCACGTGTGGCGTTTCAGTGCGCGGAGCGGGGCCCACCACTGACTACAGGGCCTGTGAACCATCACTGCCCGCCTGTGCTCCCCGTAAGCCCTGGCTCACCTGCCTGGACCCCCATACTGTCCTCGGAACCTCCAACCTGGGCCTCACTGTATGTTTGTTGCTTAAACCGAGCTTCTCCCTCTGCCAGATCCCTGCACCCCACCCATTCTAACGCACCCCTTATCCCCAGGGCAGGGGTGAGCGGCTCTGGGAAATCACAGGGTCAGAATCAGTCCTGAGGAGCCCCGGCCTCCATCTTCTGCTCACCCCTCTCTCCTAGAGCCACAGTCATTCACCCCAATTCCCCCTTGAAATCCTTAACTTCCTGTGTCTTGACATTGATCTTGATTCGAGGTTCAAAGCCCCCTCCTGACTCTAGATCACCCCTCTCTCACTGGACACTACCCCGCTGGACCCTGCCCAGGGGATGGGAGGGGGCCCACACTTTGTACCCCGCTTCTGGTGGCTGAGAGCTGGTTCTTTGGCAACCCTCTTGCCCCCCCCAGCCACACCTCCCCGTTGGTAGGAATCCCTCCAATGTCCTCATATTTCCCAGGCCCCACCAACCCCCCTTCCTTGGGGTCTCTCTCCATCGGCCCAAGGCTGGTAAGCAGGTTCCAGTTCACCACCCCCGGGCTCTAGTGGCTGGCGCACCCCCGAGGCCCCCAGGCAGGGGGAGGGGCGAGACTTAGGTCCCCACTTCCTGGACGCTCAAGTTACCAAGGCTTAGGCGCCAGGGCCCCGGTCAGTCCTGGCCCTTATCTGGGGCATCACTGTGCTCCAGGACTTTTTGGGGATCCCCAACACCCCACAGAGCCTCTGGGTCTGAGAAGCTATCTGGCTGCGGTGATAGGGTTGCCCTGCCCCATCCACCTGGACTAAGTGGGGTGTGGGAGGGAAACGGAGGTCTTACCGGCCCCGGGCAGGTCTGGGCCGAAGACCCCCTCGATGGTCTCGCAGGCGCTGCCGTCGCCCCCGCACACCCGACACTTGTCCTCACGCAGGTCGGAGCCCAGGACACGGTCGCAGCCCACGTGCTGGGGGGGGCGGGGTGTCAGCGGGGCCCCTCCCACCCCCTCCCCTGTCCCCGGAGGCCCCCCACCTTGCACTCGCCGCTGACGCAGATGTCCACCGTGTCCGGGCGGCAGGGCGTCCCATCCACCACGGCCGCGGCCCTCTCCGTGTAGAAGTTGAAGCCTTCCGCTAGGCACGTGAGCGAGCAGGCCTTCACGCCCCCTGGAGGGGGCACGGCCTGTCAGATGGGGGCTGCCTGGGCTGCCTCGTCACTCCCTGGGGAGGGGAGGCCTAGAGGGGCAGGCCCCGGGCCCCTCCAGATGGACAGGCTGGGCGGAGGGGGGCCCGGCTGACCTGGGGAAGCCCAGCTGCCCGGGGCTACCCTGGCCATGCCACAGCCTCCGGGGCCCCCACTCACCGCCTCGGTACGTCTTCCACGTGTAGAACTTTCCACGGAAGGGGACGCTGTCAAATTCAGAACACTGCATTTCCCGGAAGTCCTGGGAGCCGGGGGGACAGTCCTGGGCAGAGGGAGGCAGGCGGGTGGAGGGGGTCAGGGCAGAGACCCAGAGCAGGGCGGGTGAGTGGGTGGCCGGGAGGGCCGAGGATGTCCAGTGAGGTGGGGTGGGGGGCCGAGGCCACCCAGGCAGTGGGGTGCAGGGGCAGGTGCTCTGAGGCGGGGCTGGGAGATGCATCCAAGGGCTGGAGTAAGCGCGACCCAGCCTCTGGCTCAGACCACGTGTCCTCCTGAGAGTGAGGGCCCAGGGAAGAGCCAGGCAAACTTGGGGCACGGTGAGGGAGATGCAGGTGGAGTCCTGGAAGCAGGCACGCGCCCAGTGCGGGGTTGGGCAGGCCACACCCCCCTCAGCAGTTCTCCCCTTTTGGGAGCACCCCCTCCAGTAAGCCCAGTGCCAATCGGGCGTGTGCACAGACTCACGGACACCATGGGGAACCCCAACTTTAACAAAAAAGGGGGTCGGCAAAGGAGTAGGGAGGAGGCGATGGGAGCGGTACGAGAGGAGCCGGGCGTGCCGGTGCCGGAGATGCGGGCAGTGGGGTGTGAGGGTCTGGGGCGGGAGGGTCACGGGGGCACAAGCACTGACTGGGGGGTCGCTGGGTTTGGTAGGGGGAGAGCGGCTGCGGAGGGAGAGCGCAGCACAGTGGCGGCAGTGCAGGGCCCAGCTGTTATCTCAGGGCGGGGGCTGGGGCCTCAGAAAACAGGAGCCAGCCCCTTGGAGGGGTGGGGGTGGCCCCAGGGAGTCCTGGGCAGGGCTGGGGGGGGCGGGGGGGCCGCCACAGGTGCAGGGAGCACGTGCAGACGAGGCTGCTGGAAGCGGCCCTGCTCCTCCCAGGCCGGGCCCAGCGCTGGGCGGGGCAGGCACCCACCTCGGTGCTGCAGGAGCGGTGCCGCCGCCTCTCGCCCAGGCAGTATTTGCCGCCGATGGTTGGCCTGGAAGGGGTGAGGGCACAGGTGAGCATGGGGGTATGGGGGCGCAGGCCGCCCCTCTCCCGGCCAGGGGCTGAGGGCTTACCTGGGGCTGTCACAGTGGCGGCTGGAGGAGGAGACGCCGCCGCCGCAGGTCCGGCTGCAGTCGCCCCACGGGGTCCAGGGGCCCCACGCCCCGTCCACGCCCTCCGGCCGCGACCCAAAGGGGACGCACACCCGCTTGTAGCACCACTGTAGGGGGACAGAGAGGTGAGTCCGGTGCTGCAGTCTCCTGCCCCCCCAGGTCTTCCTCCCTGCACCCCCACAGGTGGAAGCAGGAGGACAAAGGTGTGGGCTGAGACCTAGGCAAGGCCCGGGCCTGTCCAGGAGCCTGCACGCTGCCCACGGAGGGGCCTGGTCTGAGCAGGTCATGGCGCAGCTGAGACTCCCCGGGGCTGGCACAGGGCGTGGCTGCAGCAGAGGCCAAGGCGGGGCCCCGGGCGTGATGCGGGCAGGCAAGCCTGGGGGGCCGGGCTCACGCTCACCCCCTTGTCGATGGTGTGCGTCTGGCACAGGGTGCCCTCGGCGGCCGGGATGCTGTTGGTGATGCACCGGTTGCTCTTGCTCAGACACCACAGCTCGCTGCAGACCTCCTGAGGACCAAGCACCGGCTCAGGCTCGCCCCACCTCCTGCCTGGGCAGCCTGGGGCAAGGCAGGACCCAGCAACCGGCCGGCCTCATGGGGCCCCGGCTCCCTTCACAGGTGTCACTGCCGGGCTGAGACCTCCTCTCGGCCTCTAGCTACACTCTACCCCCTGGGGTGCTTGGACACCGCAGCCCTCTTATCTGTACTTCACTGAGAAAACCAAGGTCGGCTCGTGAGGTCACTCCTGGAGGTGACACAGCTCCTAAGGGGCAGCATGGATTTTAGTCCAGAACTTTGATGGCAGAGCCTGGGATCTAATCATTCTGAAATTCAGCCCTTGATGCCTCCTGAGATTCTAGAAGGAATCCTGGGCTCCACCGAGGGATGGAGGATTCTGGGGTCCTCTGGGGGTGGGAGAGCAGCCCACGGAGGTGCAACAGTTCAGAAGAACCAGGCGGGGAAGATGGGTCAGGTCAAGGGCCCCACCTCTAATTTCTTCCAGCTGGTGGTTCTCCCCCGCCCCCCCCCAAAAAAAACCAAAAACAAAAACTGAGGACGCTCCCAAGGCCTTTAGGCTACAGGAGGTCAGGGCGGGAAAGGCGAGGCTGGGCCTGGGTGGGCTGGGCCTCACCTCACCTGCCACGGGAAAAATCAGCCCAGCCTCTTCCTAGCTGACCCCTGCTCGGGCTGTCCACGCCCGGGCGGCAGCTTCTACGGATAGCAGAAAGCAGGACGGGTCTTAGGGAGTCGTTCTGACCCGTTAGGCTCACGTCCATGTGCCCGGACAGGCTGCAAGGACGTGTTTCCGATGCGGCTGCATCTCGACCCTGCCCTACGCCCCGGCTCTTGCCTCTGAGAAGTGGAGCTTTCTGTTCCTTTTTATAATCACATGCAATTTCCTCTCCGAACCTAATCCTTCCAAGCTCTCAATGTCTGGAATTAAATTACGTAGTGATGGTAGGAACAGACTTTCCCGAGCTCAACCTCTGAAACACCCGCACACACAGGGGACACTCGAGGAGTCTTCACACCTCTTCCCCGAGGGTGGGCGCTCAGACACCTTTGGGGTCCCCGCCGCTTCCCCGTCAGAGGGCTCTTAGCTAAGCATCAGGCTGATTTTTTGGCTTCGCTTGGCTTATACCCAACATTGGTAAGAAGATCACATGCCCCAATCCCATTCTGACACCTCATAAAGAGCGGCCTGTTCCAGCCTGTTTTCCCTCCTCTCCACAAGGAGCTGCCATATGGACACACGTTCTGGGCCACGCAGGGGCACTTCAGTACTGTCGCTGACGTGCAACACACTTCCCCTCTCTAGGCCTCAGTTTCCTCATCTACAAGGTGGGCCTTGCCTATGTCAAAAGCCTAGAGGCCCGTGACAGGGTAGACAGGAGAGGGTTACAAAAACACCCTGTTAGAGGCTAACACCGGCCACAGCTACCCCGCCAGGCAGAAGGCCCGGCCCGTTACACATATTGACCAATTTCCATGCAGCTAACAATCCCCTCCTTTGCCAGGAGGGCGAGAAAGATGTTCCTTTGAAAAATAAAAGGAAGTGTCAGTTCAAACAGTTGGTGCCGTCCAAGGTCTATACCCTGGCACTCCCTCTGCCCCACGTGCCTTTATACAGGGAGAGCTGGGTTCAAATGCCAGCTCCTCCGTGTTGTCAAATTGTGATGCTAGAAGAGCACCCTTCCTGCGCCTCAGTCCGCGGGTCTTAAGAGGACTGTCCAGCATTCAAATGAGATAATGCAGGGCACGTGCTTGGCATACAGCGCGCTCAACGGCAGCTGCGCGCATCGTCGTGAAGACACCTGGGCCACAGCAGACACTCACAGGTAGCTTCTGGGTTCTTTAGAAATTCATTAGAAGGTGAATTTGGGGGTACGTGTAAGAAAGAGCGAGTCACATACAGGTTGCTCCAGGGTTAGAGGAGTCTCCCTGGTTTGCATGAAGGGAAGTGAGGGCACCCTGGGCGGCTGTTTCCCTTGTCACGTTCAGGACGCTGGCCACACCACACCAGGCAAACTGACCTCGCGTCTCAAGGGTGTGCCGGCCTGGGACTGGCACTGGTTACCAGGGCCGAGGCTGTGAGACGGGGTAGTGTGTCTAGGGGTTCACGGGAGGTGGCAGTGGAGGGGCTACCCCAGCTGAGCTGGTGGCCCCTGAAGCAGGAAGCTGAGAGGCCTTCAGCTTCCTAAAGGAGGGGAGCCGGGCGTGGGGCCCAGACTCGCTGCCCTGTGTGCGCATGAGGCTCTAGACACTGAGCCTAGGCCTTGCGGTCGGGGCTCTGGCTGGCCCTTTGCTGCATGGGGAAGATGGTTCATCCCGGGGCACTCTTGATACCAAATCGGGACGGCTGGTTAAGAAGTGCCCACAAGGGGCCTGGGGATATAAGTTCTCCTGCAGCAAAAGGCCTCCCAACCTCAGGCTTTCCTCAGCCCAACCCAGCTCCCGAGTCAAGGGTCTGGAGACCCAGGAGACCCCATCCTTACTCCAGCCTGACTGCCGGGACACGCGCGCACCCGAGCACCTCTGTCAGGCGCCCCCACTGGGGGCTCAGCCCCTTCCTGGCTCTCCCGCCTCCACTGCCGGGGTGGGGTGCCCGTGCGCAGTTTCCACCCCCTGGTGGTGTCGGCCCCTCCCCTCCCAGGAAGGAAAGCAGGAAGGCTCTCTCTACCCCGTATTTACACTGACGCGATTTGACTCCATGCTGGAAGCGGCACTGCTCATCCGCGTCGTAGGCCTGGCCAGGCGCCACTGTCGGGTACACGAAGTCCTGTCTGGGGGGCCGGTTGTTCAGGCAGAGCCCCAGGCCCGAGCTGTGGCCAGAGAAAAGCAGCTGTCACGCTGGGGGGCTGCAGGCCCAGGAGCCGGGGGACCCGGAACAGCACCGACTTCCCGGGCACCCCCTCCAACACCAACGTGGGCCTCTGAGCAAACGGGGGGGGGGGCACGTCCTCACTCCAGGAAGCTGGTGATGTAGTCGCGGCTGCAGGACGACCACACGAACGGGTTGGTCTTCATGGTGATGTGGGCGGCCATGAGCTTCGCGGGGTCCTGGCCACGGGCGCCGCAGCTGTTCCCCACGCCATCGTGGTTCATGCCGAACCTGGGGAGACGAGGGTGGTTCTGCCGGTGCAGGGGGACCTGGCCGGAGCCTCCTGCCCGCCCCCGGGCCTGGCCTCACGTGTGTCCGATCTCGTGGGCGATGGTGAATGCGGTGGCCAGGCCGATGTCCTCATTGATGCTGCAGCTCCTCTCCCGCTCGCACATCCCACCCACGGGGGCCAGGCCTGGGGACGGGCGCATGGTGTGGGCCAGGGGCTCAGGGCTGCGGACACCGGCCCCGTGCCCCTGCAGGGTCTCCCCCAACCAGAGTTAGGCGACCCCCGGGCGTGAGTACCTAGAGTGCCACAGGGCTTGTTCTTGTAGATGCAGATGTCGTAGCTGCGAGGGGGGAGCGGGCAGTGAGGGGCTGCCCGCCTCCCTCAGCCCTGCTGACCCCATGGCCCATATCGGGGTCACCGAGGCTTACGCCCTGCCCCCCACTGAGTCAGTCGGGTGGCTGCGGGACGCTGGGGTTGCACGACTGACTGAGCGAACGTCAGTGCCTGATGGCCCACACCTCCCCTCTCCCTGTCTCGGGGTCCAGCAGCTCCTCCGTCACCCGGCTCCCTGCTAAGGGGGCAGGTGGCTGCACGGTCTCCCGGCCGAGATGACTACCGCTTGGCCCGGGTGGCCCGTGGGGCGCTGTCCCTCCCCGCGCCAGAAGCCCGCCGGCCTCACCGTGTGATGAGCACCGCGGTGTCGTGGTCGGCCACGCCGTTCTCCGGGATGGCGTTGCCGTGGCCGCTGCGGTTCACGATGGACTTCTGCCACTTGCAGAAGCTGTCCAGGGACTTCCCGGCGTGATGGGTGATCTCCAGGGTGGGCTGAGGATGGGCAGGGGAGGGCATGGGTGCTGGGCACCCCGGGGAAGGCAGCCGAGTGTGGGGGAGGCGAGGCCCTGTACCTGGTCCTCTGTGAGCAGGATGAGGCGCGTCACGAGGATGTTGACGATGTTTCCCAGACTTGAGTCCTGGAACAGTTTGGCAACCTGACCTCCAAGAAACAAGAGAGAACGAGTCTTAAGAGGGGCCCCGAATGGGCCTCCCTGGTGGTGCAGGGGTTAAGACGCAGCCTGTGAAGCTACCCGCAGCCTCTGCAGCACAAGTTCCATCCCCGGCCAGGGAGCTACCCACGTGGCCCAGCAGACCTCTCCTGTCTCCCCACTGCTCCCTCAGCAGTGTCTTTCGGTCAGTCTGCCTGTTCTGCTCCCCGCTCTGCCTCTGGTGAATCAGCTCACCTCCCTCACCTCTGGCCTTTGCCCCCGTTCTTGTATGCATAAATAGATGAATCTTTAAAAAAAAAGGGGGGAGCCCAGAAGACAAAAAACGAGACGGCAACAGCTTACTTTACCGAGTACCGTGGGGTGCTGGGCCTCACGCTAAGGCCGTGTGTTTACTGCTCAAGGGCGGGGAGCGTGATTGTGCCCATTTCAGACGAGCAAACTGAGGCACAGGCCGGCAGGGACTGCTGGCCTGCCACACGCGTGCTCCGACGCCCCACTGGCCGGCTGGCTCACCCCCCGCCCTGTACCCTCTGGGTGCCTCAAGCATCTGCCCTGCGGTGGCCTGAGGGTGAGCATGTCTGGCTTTCTTGACAGCTACTTGAAGGTACCAATTTGAGCGTCACCACAGGAAGGTGGACTGAGGGGGCAGGACGCTCTGGAGGCGGTGGCCAGTGGGACTGAGCGGGCCCCGGTGATCCTGTAGCTCTGGGCCATCATCCTTCGATGTGGAAACCGCAGCAACCCCAGCAGGTTTCAGCCAACTCTGGAAGCCCCAGGGGGCCTCGGTGCTGGGCGCTGCGCCAGGTAGGGGGAGGCACTTACAATGTTCATGATGGCCAGCACGTACTGCTCCACGTCGCGCCGCCCGTGGTAGGACACCATCATCTTGTCGGCCACCACCAGGGTCTCCACATAGCGCTCCCGGCTGACCGAGCGCTTCAGGCCCGGCTGGCTGCGCTCTGTCTCGTTGGCCAGGGGCCTGGCAGGGGGCGGCTTCAGGGTGCGCAGCCACCACGGCCGCCCTTTCCAGGGTTTCTCGTCTGGGTAAACAGTGTCTGGTCACCCTGCTGGCGGCGTGCAGCGCCTGTCTGGCGGCCACCCCGGCTACGGTCTGTGGACCACCTTGCTGTCCGCTGCCGGGGGTCCTGGCCATGTGACGTGTGGCTCTGCCAGACGGGGAGGCCTGACAGCTGCCCAGGGTCCCCCTCCAGCCAGCCCGACCGCACAGCTCCCTGACCAGCCCACCGCCTGAGCGAATCTGTATGCATTTGCCTCCCTGCCCGGACGGGCGCTGGGGTGACTTCCTGGCCGCTCGCTGACTCCAACTTTCTAGACGGTGCCTGCCCGCCCTCCAGTCTGACCGTCCCACTGACCCATCTTTGTGTCTGTACAAGTGACTGGTGTGAGTCCTGCTCCCCAACTCTCGGAGCAGGCAGCCCGCGCACGGGCCTTTGTGCGGCCCCCACGGGCAGCGCGGCTTTCTGCCCGGAGGTCGTCCCGGGATCACGCGCCCTCTGCCCCCTCCTCCCCTGCCCCCCTGTGGCTGACCCTGCAAGTCCGGCTGCAGACCTGACCTGACGTGGGCGAGCTCTTCGCTGCCCAGCGTGTCCACTGTGTGACTGTGTCTCCTACGGTCACCCGCTGCTTAGAGGTATGCCCAGAAGGTCATCCGGAGGGAGGAGGGTCCTCACCAGACACCTGCCTGGCCGTCCACAGCCCACCCCACTCGCCACCAGGCCTCCTGACTGTGGCCACGGCTGGGCTGCCCTGCTGCCTCTGCCTGACTGCTGCCGTCCTCAGGCCTGCCGATCTCTGCCTCAAGGATGACGCGTAGCCCCGTGCCCACCCCGGCGGGCGGGTGTACCTCTCACTCCACAGGCTGTGTCCAGGTGGGGGTGGCGCAGGGAGGAACGCTTGTACACCACGTGGGGGCCACTCTCCTCTGGACCCCGAGCTCCCTTGGGCCCACCTTGCAGGGGCTCGATCAAGTATTCTTCTTCATCTGCCACAATCAGGCCATGCTGGGGGTTGGGAAGGGCACACTGGCTTGGATCAGATCCCAGGACCCCCGGGACCCGTCTCTATGATTCCTCCATTCCTCCATCTTCTGGATTTATGTTGCTGCTACTTCTCTAAATCTCGAGACGGACATTCGCTCATTAACTTTCAGCTTGAGCCAAGGCAATACATTTTCCTCCAAGCACTGCGCTAGCTGCATCCCAAACGTACTGATTAGCTTAGAATACTTAACCCATTTCCGCTTTGATTCCTGACCTATTTTAACAAGTTTTTGGCTCCTGCAGTTGTGAGCACCTCCCCAGCCCCACTCACCAGGCCCCCACAGGTGCTGATGGCCACACGGGAGCTGCTGGCCTGGCCCTGTAGGTGGCCGGCGTAGAGGCAGTGGGGCCGGGCGGCCCTCTGCCAGGCCAGGCCCTCCCGAGTCCAGTACTCCACAGAGACGTGCCCTGCCAGGAGGCGGGGGCTGCGGGTGAGGTTCAGCAGGAAGTGGGTGCTGGGTGCCGCCACCTTATAGAACAGGCGGGCCTCTGCGGTGGATCCTGTGCCCCGCCGCTGCCTCCGGGTGGTGGGGGGCGCAAAGGCCAGCAGTGCCCCGTTGTGGTCCACTCGGGTAGGGAAGGCGACCTCATAGCTCTCCAGACTGGCCAGGAACTCCTCTGTGGGCGGCACGGTCTGTGCTGGCCTGGGCACCCCCTCTGCCTCCCAGCCGCTGGGCTGCAGGCCAGGCCACGCTGGTCCCGGCACCAATGCACAGGCCACTGGCTTCAAGACCCGCTTCACTCGCCCAGGGACTTCCTCCCAGTGACCACAGCCCCAGCCCCGCTGACCCATCTTATTTGGGGACCCAACCGGCTTCCCCAGCTCCTCACTCCCTCCCCAACACTGACCCGGAACCAGCCCTACCTTGAGACCGGAAGGCATGTGTGGCCTCGAACGCGAGGCCCAGCCCCAGGGTGAGGGCCCAGCGGAGGATCTGGCAGGCGGGAGCCATAGAGGCCACGTGTCCACATGTCTCTCCCAGCTCCGGCTGCTGGCAGCCCCCGCAGCGCCGCCTCCCCTGTTCACAGCCCGGGCAGCATCACCAGGCTCCTGGGAGGGGGAGCTGGTCAGGTGGGGCCTGGTCCCGCTGCCCGACAGTCAAGCCGAGGCCCTGCCAGGCTGACGGGCCCTGCAGCCCCGCGCTCCCGGCTCGAGGATGCGCGATGCCTCTCCTCACTCACAGCCTCTGCCCCTGCCACCCCCCACCCCTATGCTCTTGGGACACGAGGACCTTCTCTGTGAGCACCCAGTGTGCCACTGGCTAGGGCATGTTCACTACGTTCCCCTTTATTTCTGCAATGACCCGGAGAGGTCATGTTCACGCGTCTCCTTGCACAGGTGAGAACTGGATGCGGACACCACGGGAGTGGCCTAAGGTCATGAAGTGAGAGCGCGGTGCCAGGCCCGCACGCTGGGCGCTCAGCACTGCGAGGCACGGAGTGGGGCGGCCCCCCAAGCGCAGGTGGCCGCAGAGGGAGGTGCATGTGGGGAGGCTGGATAGGATGAGCTCTTGGGAGGCGCAGAGGGGGGCTCCAAAGCAGAGGTCCATGGGTGAGAAGAAAGCAATCGCTTGAAAACACAGGAGAAGAATAGCGGGGGGAAGCCCAGGACCCCAAGACCAACATGGGGGGCCGGGGGGTCAGCCAGGGGGCTTGCAGGGGCCGCATGCACAGGCTGGTTGGTCAGGATGAATTTCCAAGCCAGGCTAAGCCAGGTGGGTGCCCCAGCTGTCACCCCACCATCCCCGGCCTCCACCTCCTACCCTGGGCGGCACTGTTCACCCTCCCCCCCCACCCCAGGCGGGACACCTCAGTCCTGCGGCCTCTCCCTCACACCTCCAGCAGGGCCCTGTCCTACGTCCTCTCTTCTAGGGTGCTCCCACCTTGAAGTGCCAGGACTACCTGGCAGCGCTGTGGCGGCCGCCTCTGCCCCAGACCAGCCTGTTGCAGACACCGCTTCGGGCCACGCCGTGTGCCAGGCCCTCCACCCTCCAGCTTAGCCCTCCTCCCCCTCCACGCAGTTCCCCCCTTAATCACACACTGTCTTGTTTTCTTTGCGGCCGGGCCAAGTCTGAGAGTTGATCCCCAAACAGGGCAGTTCAGCTCCTGGGGGATGGAGCCAGGTTTCAACAAGATGCCGACTTAGAAGCCAACATTCCCTGCTTCTTCAAGCCAACATTCCCCACTTTTCCTTGGACCCCTCCAGTGACGGGGAGCTTACTCCTTGACACTCTACGACCCGGCCGCTCCCTTCAGCTGCGCTGCTGTCTAACCCTGGTTATTTTCCTTTTTACCTTTTGGGGGCTTCAGTCAGTGCCACCCCGTGCGGATCCTTCCTGCCTGCCGGGGCCTCGGGGTCTCGGCTGCCTCTTCTCGGGAGCCTGGGCAGGGAGGGGGCGGTGAGGACTGGGCTGGTCCTCGGCACCGGGCAGCTTCTGGTGTGCAGGCTCCAGGGGAAATCCTGCCCTTCTCCCCACTGTCCCTGGCCAACCTCTTCTTGGATTTCATCCTCACTCCATTCCTAATCACCTCCTCCAAACTCGCTTCTCCCCACCACCTCACCTTGCTTCCTCTCCCCGAATCCATCCTCAGAGGCCTAAGCTAGCTCCAGGTCAAAGCCTTTCCTGGTTGGGCTCCCCAACCCTGCTTTCTGCTGTCCCCCCCCCCCATGTACTCACCACTCTTCTCTGAGGCTGGGTCCCTCCTCCAAGGACCTCACACCCTCTGGCAGTTAGGACTGGCCTAGGGCGTTGGGGACAGGGAGAGGGAAGTCACCTGTGCACCGAATGGCGGGTGGGCAGAGAGAAGTCTGCAGAGGGCACCCAGGCCTGGGCCGGGGCAAGGCAGGGGGACGCGCCCAGCCTCTGTGGAGGTGGGAGGTGTGACCTGCCCAGGGCTCTGGGGGGACCATGAAGAGGTAGGCGGGTCTGGGGTAGATGAGGCTGGGGGTGCCACCGGGGGCTCCAGCTGGGAAGGGTCCAGGCCTGGCTGGAGGCGGGGATATCAGCTGGAGTCTATACTCCGCTGGAAGTTGGTTCAGGACCGTGACCGGGTGTATGTGAGTGTGTGACTGTATGCATGTGAACGTAGGTGTTTTTCATGTGTGATCCTGTGTGCGTACCCTACCCAGGCCTGGCCATTCCCAGGCAACCTCTCTGGCCCGGCGGGAGGCGGCCAGTGTGGGGGAGGGCACCCACGGGGTGGAGGAAATGCCCTCGGAAACAGGCTCCCTCCCACCCCCCCCCCCCAGATCCTGGGGGGACCCGCTCCACACGCGGACCACCCAAGGCCTCCTCCCTCCGCCCAGGCAGCCCCCGGCACTGCACATCTGGCCGGGCAGGGCAGGCAGGGCAGACCCTAGGAGTGCAGACAAAGGACCCCCCCAGGCAGCAGGAGGAAGGGGCCAGCACCCCACCCCGTCCTCCAACAGGCAGATTGCTAAAGGCCCTGGAGGGCCCCAAGGGCTGGAGGCCCCCACAGCAGCCCTGCTGACTGCTCGGGGACTGGACTGGGCTGCCGCTCCCGTTACCAGACAGACAGACACACACACAGAGGCAGCGGGGGAGGGGCGACCACACCTGTGAAGATGGGGACCCCCTGCTGGACCCACCACTGGACCCCGCACACCCACAAAGGGAGCCCCGCACACGCACCGGTGCGCACACCAGACACGCGCGCACGAGACGCGCGGGTGCGGCGCAGCCACGGCGCAGCCACGGCGCAGCCACGGCGCAGCGGGCGCAGCCACGGCGCAGCCACGGCGCAGCCACGGGCACACTCCCCCGCGCGCGCACACCCGGCCGGCGGGGGCTTTCAGAGTCCCCGAACCTGACACACGCCCTGGAGCACTTACACACGTTGCACACTCGCCCCGCGCAGACACACCCGGAGACAAAGCTGCCCGGCCCGCGGGAGCCCCGCGCCCGGCCCGGCCCCGGCGCCGCGATCGCGCCCGGCGGCCCCGGCTGCGGGCGGCGCGGCCCCCGCGGGGACCCCGGCGCCCCCGGAAACGCGGCCCCGCCCGCGCCGCCGCCGCCCGCCCTACCTGCGGCCGCCCGCGGCCTCCTCTGCGGTCCCCGCCGTCTGGCCGCGCAGGAAGGGCGGGAGCGGGCGGCGTGGCCGGGGGAGGGGGCGCGGGAGGCACTTCCTGAGCCGCCTGCCAGGGTTATAAAAAACCCCCAAACCGCGCGCGGCCAGAAACCCCGCCCGGCCCGTCGCCGCCCGGCCAGGGCCGCGGGCTGGCCCCGCGCCAGGACCTGCGAGCGCGGCCCGCCCCGACCGGCGCCCCCGGGGGCTGGGGGGGCGCGGGGGCGGGGCGGGGCGGGGCCGGCGGGGGGGAGGGAGCGTTAAGGGGGGCGAGGGGAAAGGAGGAAAGAGGAGTGGGGTGCAGGGGGGCGGGGCGACTTGACCGGAAAAGGGGGAAGGGGTGAGGCTGGGGGAGGGGGAGAAGCCCGGCGGGCGGGGGGGGGGGGGGGCGGGGGGCGGGGCAGCCCCTCCCCGCCGCATGGGCAGTATCCACAACAGCTGGTATTTATTGAGGGCTCGTCGCTCAACAGACATTTATTGGGCGCCTCCCGTGTGCCCGGCGTCGTGCCCGGGAGGCTGAATTAGCCCCAAGCGCCCCCGCCCTGCGAGAGCGTCCCTCGGGGAGTCTGACCTGTCCTGGGCCCCGACGCCCCATTCGCAGGAGAAAACACTGAGGCCTGCGGGGAGGGTTCAGAGCTCCTCGGGAGGGGAGACCCTGCGGATTCCGGCCGCCTCCGGTGGGTGCTGAGAGGTGGTGCTGGCACACGTGGGGCGACCTGGACGGTAGGGACGGGCTGAGATTCCAGCCCAGCGCGCCCAGCTGCCCTGCGGGCCTCTGGGGGCTCCAGAACTGGGCAGGCTGGTGACCCCGGACCTGCAATTGTAGGCGTTTTCCTGACCCCAAGGAGCAAGGCAGACCCTGGGCCCTCGCGGAGTCTGTTTCCCCGTCTGCGGGCTGGGTGGGGGCGGATAATAACAGCTTCCCAGGGTCACTGGGCAGGGAGGTCATTCCACAGCAATCACCACTTTTGTTTCTCCTGAACTGGGGATGGCAAGTCGGGGCTCACGCGTATAGCAGGTAGTTTATAAACCCCAGGCTCCTGCAGCCGTCCCCAGCCTTGCCTTTCCTACCCTCTCTCCCAGGGCCTCTTGAGCTCCCGATTGAGGAACAGCCTAAGTAAACAGCTCTGCCTCTGCCAGCCGTGCCTCCGTCACCCGTGGGCTCCTGGGGAGCCTGCGGAGAGCTGCCTTCTCGGCATCCAAGAGCTGGCTCCTCTGACTTCTCAGGTTGCCCGTATGCTGCTGCTCCCACCATCAGCGGCCCAGTCCTCAGTCTAGTCCTGGGTGGCAGACAGCACTGGGCACGTCAGGGCTGCTTTGAGCCAGGTGCTCCCAGGCGCTGCCACTTAGTAGCTGTAAAACCACAACTGTGGTACCAAAAGAACGTGGTTCTTTTGCATCCACCCCCCTCCTTAGTGCCATGCGACAGCCCCACATGTCCCTGCGGATCTCCGTGTCCCCTCTCACCGTGGCCTGTGGCTTCACCCCCGGTCACTTGCCATCTCATCTCCTGCTTCAGAGGAGGGATTTGATGTAACCAGCCCTCAGGCAATAAGTTATTGACTGGAGCCCTGGGAAGCAGACATTTGCCTCTCCGGTAGCATGCGAAGCTGAGTTTCCATCTTAGGCAACAGGGAGAGGCCTCTTTCAGGGACCAAGCCTCTAGGTGGAGGAGGGTAGTGGCCCCAGGGCCTTTGATTCAGCCCTGAGCAAGCTGTTCCTGAAGCCCACGGCACGGTTTTTCTTCATGCACTCTGTACTGACCAGTCTTGAGCCAGGCACTGATCTAGGCATTGGAGACACAGCAGGAATAACAGTAATCCTCACCCTCCAGAGGTCACTGCTCTGCCTCTGGGCTTTCATAGCGTCTGTTCCCTCTGCACTGATCCCCCCTGAAATTCCCATGGCTGGCTTCCTCCCAATCTCCAAGTCCCCAGCATCACCCCCCAGTGAGGGCTACTCTCTCTCCTCTCCCATTCTCTGGATTATGTGACTCCTAGCGTGAGTCACCGCCGACACACTCCATGGAATACCTGCTTTTGTTGATTCTGTCTCCCTCGCTAGAACGTCGGGTCTGAGGGAGGGGGCTTTCGCCGGTGTGGTCCCCAGCAGTGCCTGTAGCCTAGAGCAGCGGGGTGGGGGTTACACAGTGGGGGGGTCAGCACTGAATAATAGGGAGGGGACAAAGAGCTCCCTGGGCAGCATGGACATTCTGGTTTGAATGCTGACAAGGCAGCAGGGGTGAGGGCATTCTACGAAGAGGGCACAGTAAGTGTAAAAGCGACTATGACCAGCACATTCTCTTTTTATTTAACCCAGCTTGGATTTAAGACAATTTTTTTGGTAACTTGAGCCGAAGTTTAGAGTCCAAGCATTTAAGGGGTGCTGGAGGGGTGCAGTACTCAGTACTGCCACGGGAGGGCGCAGCGGACCCTCACTATTGGCCTGGGCTGTGGGAGTGGGTGCTGGAAGGATGTTAATAAGGACGGCCCGAAGGAACGCTTGTTTTTGAGGCCTGTCCATCCTCACAGCAGCCCTCTGAGGCACGCCCCGTTATGTACCCATTCCTCACTGAGAAGACTGAGGCACAGAGGGGGTGAGTAAGTTGCTCAGGCTCGCTCAGCTAGGAGGGGCAGCACCACAACAGAACATTCAAGATAAAAGTCAGGGTTATCTGACCACCTGGAGGGAAGGCAGTGAGCTGTGAAGCAGAAGAACCCTCCGCACCCGCTGAGAGGGAGGGGATCCCTGAGAGATCCTGGGGTTGCTGTGCCAAGGAAGGGGACCCCTTTCCTGGGGGCTGGAACCCCTATCTCTAGGCCCGGTCAGATGTTTTCCCCAGCAGATCTGGTGTCCCCTTAAATGCTGGGAGAGGTTGTGCTGCTCACGGTCACGTGATCTGGTCTCCTTCCCTCTTGCAGTCAGTCAGTCAGGGAGGACTTCCCAGAGGAAGTCATGGAGGTCTGCGCATGAGTAGGAGTTGAGCAGTTGAAGAGGCAGGGAGAGTCAGGCGGAGGCCACTGGGCAGAGGCCTGGAGGTGGAGCGGGAAGGGCATGTGCTCAGCTCCCTCTGGGACGCCTGTGCCTGGAGTGAATATTTATTCAAACTGCAGCGGCTGCGTCAAAGACAAATGCTCTGAGCTCACGGATATGTGATAGAATTGGGGTTACAGGCCTGGGGGTAGGGTGGGCAACATGGGGAGGTGTGGGTCTAACTTTCAGTTATAAAATTAAGCAAGTCGGGGCTCCAGGCGCCGTCTGTGATCACGGCTGGCAAAGCTGTGTTGTGTACAAGGCAGCTAGCGAGAAAAGCGCTCTGGTGTTCTCGCCACAAAAAAGAAGTGGTCAGCAGGCCACGGGGAGGTGTTAACTCCCTGCAAGGAGGTGATCATCTCACAATACGTCGGTGTGTCCAATCAACACGGTCGTGCACCTAACACTGCGGAACTGGGGGGCAGAGGCAACACCACCCTCCTACCGTCCCCCCTGGAGACCCCCCCTCTCCCACGTCACCCCGCCGCTGCAGCACCCACAGGGGCCCCTCCCCTGCTGTCGGCTGGCCCCACTTTCCCCTCTGCTGCTGGGGCAGCCACGACTCAGCCTGCCCCCTCTGTCACCCCTAAAACAAGTGACCAGTGATTTTCTTGGGGCCCAGCACTTTGAGGTTTAATGTAAATTTCAAACGTGCCCCCACCATGGCCTGTGTGAAAAGCAGGAAATGCGGCTCTGGGAGAATGTGAGGCCTGGGAGGGAGGCGGGGTCTGGTCAGAGGGCAGGAGCTGGAGGGGGAGAGGGCGGGTGGCAGCAAGGGCCCTGCCTGGGCACGGCCATCCCTGGTCTCTGGCGGAAGGCGGCCTGCAGGGCCCCTCCCCAGCTGCAGTCCCTCTGGGCGCTCCTAGTACCCATTTAGCTGGGGCCTGGGGTGCGCAGAGTTCCAGAGTCTGTGCCACGGGTGTGGCCAAGTGTGAGGATCCAGGGGGGAGAAGGGCCGGCTGCATTTCTCTCCGAGCGTTTCACAGGCTCCAGTGCCTTGTATGGCTTTCCAGAACTTATTTGTTTCCTGGACATTTTTTCCCCTCTCAAGCATTTTTGGGGTGCGCGGGGTTTCTGGAACAGATAAAAGGAACACCGCCTCACACAGAGGGGAAACTTGAGTGGTGGAATTTCGGGCCAGAGCCGCCTGGCCAAGCATCAAAGCTTCCCCCCCTCCCCTTCCCGGGACCTGGGCACGGAGCGAGGCTGGGGTCCCGCTCTGGCGCGGCCTGTGGGGCTGCGGATTCTGGCGGCCCAGTTAGGAAGGCGGGACGGCCCCTGGGGGCCGGGCTGGTAGGAGTGACCGGCTAATGGGGACAGAGACTCAGGCTTCTCGAGCTGGATGACACCTCTTGACCTCCGGGGGTTCTCAAAGTGGGAGTGTCTTCTGGGAAGTCTGTGGAGTCCCCTGGGACGAAGCCCGGAGTTAACTCAGGAGAGAAACATCTGAGCCCTCCAGGCCCCTGGTCCAGGGTCACAGTGGGAGGCCGAAGGCTGGTCCTGCTCTTCCGAGAGTAAACACAGGGCGCTGGCCGGCTTCGCCCGCCCTCCCGCCGGCCGGCCCCTTCTCAGGCGGCTCCCCAGCCCCTACTGAGGCGGCTCCCCAGCCCCTACTGAGGCGGCTCCCCAGCCCCTTCTGAGGCGGCTCCCCAGCCCCTACTGAGGCGGCTCCCCAGCCCCTTCTGAGGCGGCTCCCCAGCCCCTACTGAGGCGGCTCCCCAGCCCCTTCTGAGGCGGCTCCCCAGCCCCTACTGAGGCGGCTCCCCAGCCCCTACTGAGGCGGCTCCCCAGCCCCTACTGAGGCGGCTCCCCAGCCCCTTCTGAGGCGGCTCTCCAGCCCCTTCTGAGGCGGCTCCCCAGCCCCTACTGAGGCGGCTCCGGCCCCCCCCCTCCGCCCCCGGCCTTTCATCGTCCACCTCCTCTGGCCACTCCCAGCAGCTCTGGCTTGGGGGCCCAGGGCTCGGTCACTCCAGGCCCTG